GCATCTCTGAATGGCCAAGTAAGTAATCTCGCCATGGTTGGGTTAGAGATAACGGCATCAACACCCGCAAAAAGCCCAAAGATCTGCCTTTATGAGAGGTTTGGGACCATATTAAGCGCCCATGAAACTACCCTTAAGGTACTAAAACTCTTATGCAGTCGGCCCTTGCAGTCCAAGCCTTGCAGCTGCAAAGGCCGGTCGCTGCTTGTGAAGAGCTGCGCGCACAAGCTGGGCCAGGAGCTGCCTGGCGGCAGATCTGCTAACTTTGAGCTTCTCTCTTTTTGGGGTTCTGGCGGCTGTGGAGTGAACACAAGATGACTGGACAATTTTGCGAGTTTCAATTAACCTGCTTTCAACGACACCGATGTCAGACCGAGGTTGGGCCAAGCCGTGCGGGGCCCCGGCATTGGAATTCGGGAGTGGTCGAATGAGAGCGGTCTGAGGCAGCCTTGGCTTTTTAGGCCCGGGGCCACGGCTCGCAAATCTTCAGGTCGAGGGCGAGGGGCTTGCAAAGAACAGCCAGCACCCTTAAGCAAGGCTTGTAGATGCGCAGAGCTAGCACAACCCAAGCCTCCATCCTAACGGCACAAGCTTTATGTCTGGTGTTTACATGTCCCCTAAATACGAAAACAGCTCGTCGGGTCCATAAAAAGACAGTTTCTAGTCATTAAGAATAAGTCCGTCTGAGAGGTCCAGGATGCCACCGAAGCGCAGTACCTCTTCCAAAAGGAGAAGGACCGCAGGTACAGTGACCACATGTGATTTTTATGCATGTGCGGCGAAGTGCACCGCAGCAATTGCTCAAACATTCACAACTGCAATTTACAGGTGGCCCGGTCCATTGTCAAAGGCAGAAAGAAGCCGCCACTGTAATACACTAAAGAGATGCATGCATATGTCAATGCTTCCTTGTTGGACGTGCTTACAACCATGAGCTTGTATGAATCTTGCGCGCTCAGCAACCACAGCCACATGTGTTTTGTGAACACGAAGTTCTTGCGAAGGTGGGAGACCAAAGCTCTGCATGACGTGGCGGAGCTGCAGGCATGGCTTCGCGGCAGCCGCCGGGTGTAGTCTTGATCAAATGGGGTAGGGAGAAATGCTAGGGTTGTTGGCGCCACGCCTGGGACACGAGGAAAGGACCTCCCCAAGAAAACCCCTGGATGTGCTGGGATTTTAGGGTTTGGGGCCCCCCAGCGAAGACCCTGGAAGTCCTAAAAGCTTATGAAATCGGATGTGCTAGGTTTAGGGTTCAGGGGTTTGTGCTGTGGGGTTTTGAGTTCGGGTTTTAGGGTTTAGGGTTTGGTGCCTTTGAAGAAGGTTGCGGGGGTTTCGAAGTCATGGGATTGTGCTTCGGACACAAATGATTCCAAGGCCTATGACTATGAGGTTGGGGGTCATGTAGGCTGACAGTGGTTTCAGGGCACAGGATTTCAAGGTTTTAGTGGGGTACTCACGCTTTCAGGACTTTATACAGGTTCAGGGTTTTCGATTGTCAAGCTCATTTCTGCTTTCCCGTTGACGTCTCTGACGCACATTGCATTTGTTTTCTGAATCGTGCTGCTTTATTGTCTGACTCGGTCTTATTGGTCTTCGGACTCGGTCCATCCTGTTTTCGACTCATTTGTCCGACTGGCCGGTCACCCGTTTTCCAAGGCTCGCCCCAAAGCGCCTCTTCCCACCAGCGGGATTTTTTGTCCGGCTGGGCGTGGAATTTTTTGTGGACAGGACGAGTGCCTAGTCTATCCACGCATTGCCCACAGGCAATGCGGGAGAATTTCCCCGCCGCAATGAGAGTCCTGGCCTTATGTGTTCAGCAGACCTGTTGACTTCATGCGCAACGCCTGTGCAGCCCTGTTCGATGTGTACCATATTGGACCTTCCGAGCCCGAATCAAGAGACTTACCGAAGCCCCTAAAGAACTTGACTGCAATACTCAGGCAGCCAAGAAGGCAGAGCAACTGGTTCAGGCCTTCCCTGGCACAACAGGGTTTTCTAGCAAATCTGCAAGGGACGCCGGCACTCGCCGTTCGGCGACATGCTCGGGCATGGTATGAAGGGCAGGTCCTCCTTGCAAGCCCACGTGGGTGACTTGGGAGTCAGTCTTGTTGAGTTTCCGACTCCTTTACGAAGCCAGGAAACCACGGACAAGTCCAACATTGCTGCTGTGCTGTCGACCGTGGCGCGGGCCATGGGTGAAGAATGCGCTAGCACTGCTACAGTAGAGTTCAACAACATGCTGCATGTGTGAGCCATTGTGAGTCAACACTGTCGCCCTACATTCGTTCAACAGAGTGGAACTGTAGATCGCGGAGTTCATGAAGTGAGGTGGGCCAGGCCTTTTTGACTTGAACTTCGCCCCGAAGGAAACATGCTGTCATTGACGTTTCCCTGATACCGCCTGCTGGCTCGCAAGCTCCTGCACCCTGTCGCCGCCCCTGCTGGCGTCCAAAGCGTTTCAAAGATGATACACGCCAGAAGTCCCTGGCGAAGCAGGCCCGACCACAACGCGAGCAAGAGTGAAGGCTCTCGTTGAGACCTCCGGGACGCAAAGCCTTATCGTCGGTGCTTACAGATTTCATCTCAGGGCCTCTTGCCAAGTATGTAGATGACACAAGAAATGCCCGAAGTGACGTAAGCCTTTAAGCCCAAGCCATTTGAGGGGGCGCGCAGTTTTTACCCGATGTCCCCCGAGTTGCTCCGAGTCGAATACGTCCCGAATCAGCATGGTCACTTGGGAATTCGTTAGGGCTCCCCATGAGTTTTTTGCGGGTTTGTGTGCTTTGCACAGGCGGAACCGTGGAATAGCGACGGTACTGGCGTGCCTCGGCCAAGGGCGTAGTTATTTGCTTGGTTCCAGTTGTTCCAAGACATACCCGCTTCATGATGATAGGACCTACACTAAAGCATACCTGACAAGGCAAGTGTCACATGCCTGGGAGCACGTAAGCAAGCTTCACCACAGCAATATCTGCCACGTGCGGTCGTTCATTCGTTGGCTTAGAAAGCAGCCTTTAGCAGTGCCAATGTGCATCTTCATGGGTCTTCACTGATCGGCATGACTCAGGCTGCTGGCAGCTATTGGTGCACTCTTTGCACGAGCTTCGGGTGCCTTCTGCGGAGGCAAGTCATAATCCTGTCGTTCACAGCACGGCGGGCAGGCCACACCTGTGTGCGGCCAGAACATCTCAAATCTGTCGTTCCGACACACACTGCAAGAGATAGAGAGAGAGAGAGAGGGAGTGAGGGAGGGAGATTCCGTAGCACCCGGTAACGCACGCCTACGGCCGTCCCTCTCGAACGGGAGAGGGTTAGGAACGGTTAGGTGCGCAGAAAGAAAGAAACAAAGAAAGAAAGAAAGAAAGAAAAAAGGAGAGAGGGAGGGAGGAGACTGCGAGCATTTCGATGTCGATCGAAGTCTCGATGTCCTGATCCCTTTCTCGAAGCCACCCTAAACCCCCTGCGGAGTGGTTCGTCCAGCTATGCGGGGGGCCAAAAAAGCCCTATAACCCTGTAATTAACCCCAAACGGTAGAACCCTAAAGCGCTGTAGCCCAACAACCCTACAACCCTATCACCCTATAACCCTAAACACTAGAACCCTACATTCCTCTCACCCTATAACCCCAAAACACCATAACCCTCTTAATGTGGTCTCCTGATTAGTGTGGGGGCCCCCCCCCCCCCCCCCCCCAAACTAAATCCACCCCGGCAATAATGTCCAAAAAAAGGGGCCCCCCCAAACTAATTTTCGGCCCCGGGCCCCCCCCACCGGCTCCTCTTCATTTCATTTTCGCTCCTCTTCCCTCTCCTCTTCCTCTCCTCTTCCTCTTTTAGGTAATTCAGCTCAGGAAAGCTCAGGTAAGCTCAGTAATGCTCATCTTGTTCTCTTTTTTCTCTCTTCCGAAACCCATGCCCGAAAAACTTTTCATTATTGGAGGGGGGCAACCGAATTTTTGTCCCCTGAATATTTTTTGAAAACTTTTCATTATTGGAGGGGTCCACACTAATCAGGAGACCACATTACCCTAGACCCTGCAACCCTAAGGCCCAATAACCCCAATAACCCCTAGAACCCCTTCAGACCAGGCCTTCAGTTGCCCTCCAGAGGGCGAGAGGCCCGGCTGCTGCGGCTGGCGACGACCATCGAAGGAGATGAGCCGGAGCCCAAGAGGTGGTGAGGTCTTGACCTGTGGCGGCTTGCATATAGATAATAATTATAGACAATAGGTAAATACATAAATAAATAAATGCATATATATAGATATATTTTTTTATTTATTTATGTATCTATATCGAGGAAAATGAGTAAATATAAAGCCAAATAAATGAATCAATCAATACATATATATATGTATACTTTTAGAATTAGAGACATCGAATTCAGGAATTCTGATCTTTTTGCACCTCCGGATTTCAAGAGACCCCTGCAACATCGCATCGACATCTCGCCAAGCTGTACGCCATACCGGCACCCAAATCTGTGAAGCTAGTCATGCAGATTCCTTGAATTTGAGTCGTGGGGATGCCGGCGCTTGACCCCCAAAAGCCGAATCTCTTATTGTTTGCAAGTGAAGCTGGGCATCGGCATTTTGCATCGCTGAACTGCTACCCTGCGGTGTGGCTGGCGTCGGTGGATGGCCAAAATCTTCAAAAACCCCAACCCTATAAACTCTGTAGCCTCCAGGCCCTGAAATCCTGGGTGTTCTTTTGCTGTTTGTAGTCGGCATCCGCTACAGCGTGGTAGTTTGAGAGACGGGCGATGTGACCTACTGACCTTTGCCGGCCTCATGCGAGAGTGAGCTCAGCAAGCGCGGATATTGCCAGCCCCCCCAAGTCGACTCATGCCTCAAAGGCCCCCAGTCTGTCAGTTCCGGAGCGCACCTTGAATTACATCCTAGCCCCCTGGATCTTCTATCTCCGGAACCACAATGAAAAACCTAAGCCCTATAAAACCCCAGAGCCTAAAAGCCTTAAAGTTGTTTTCCGCCACCTGAGCCTATGGTCGATGCTCTGGGTTTGCTCCTGAGGCCTCATTGCATCAAAGGTAACCCCTTCGTGAACTTCACGTCCGTGAGTCCGGTGTTTGAGCAAGGTTTGGCTCCCTCGGAGCCCTCCAGTATGGGAGGGAGGTCCGTACCCTCGCATCATCAACGGCTGACGACAAGCTTGAGAGACAGCCTGCAGGTTTGGGGAGTTCCGCGTCCTGAACCTGAAGCAGCAGTTTGCAGACAGGATTGGCCTGAGTCGGCGGACACTGTCACGATCAAGAATATTCCCTGTCGCATCCGGGCGCAGGAAATTCTGTCGGCAGTGTGTGCACTAGGCTTCACGGAGAACCATCTTCTTTACCTGCATCTTCCCGCGAAGCAGGGCCGGAATACTTGCACTCTCGGCTACTGCTTCATCGGCTTTCGTAGTGTAGCTTTGGCAAGGCAGTTTTGGGAGAAGTCCTCGGAGTTGAGATTTCCGGATCGCACCAGTCTGAAGGTCCCTCATGTCGAAGCTGCGACGAGATCAATGCACGGGGAGGTTCTCTGGTTCAGACGCGAAGCCGCAGGAACTGAGGAGGTCGACGTCGCCACGGGTCAGGGTGAGTGTGCAGCGGGGGGTCCCGGGCATTCGGAGGCGAAGGATCAGTGTGGAGCCGAGTGCCCTCGTCATTCAGAGGTCCATCGGACCCCTCAGAAAACAACCTGGCTGCTGTGAGCGGATGAGATTTCAGGGTTTCACCGGCAACTTTTTGATTCTTGGGTCCAAGTCAGCTGGCTTGCCCAGAGAGCCGCGGAGGTCCGTTCATTCCTGAGCCCTATAAGCCCGGAATTTTTGGGTTTAGGGTGGGGGGCTGCAACCCTGAATCCTAGTTTACCCTAAACCCTAAACCCTAAACCCTAAACCCTAAACCCTAAACCCTAAACCCCTTACATGATCAGACCTACCATGCTCTTTGGACAGCCGGACAGCCGGATTCGCGGACGCGGTTCCACTGAGCCACGTGAATGCACACACAACACTTGACTGGCCCATGGGATAGTATATGCGGATCGGGAACTCTGGGTCATGCATGTATGTATAATACATATATATATATATAAGGGCTAACGCCGCTTCCGCCGACCCCGAAAAAGGCGCCAGGCTCCAGCGAGAGAGTAGAAGGGCAGGGGCTTCAGGCTTCAGGGTTTAGGGTTCAGGGCCGAGGGTTTAGGGTCTGGGGAACCAGGATAAAGAAGAAGCTTTGGTGTTTTTTGGGCGGTGACTGGGGCGGGGGGGGGGGGGGGGGGGGGGTTGGGGAGGGAGGCATGGGGTGGCTGGGACATGGGAGGGGGGGGGGGGCGGAGGGGTGGTCGGGTTTGTAAAGAAAAAACTTGAGCGTTTTTGAGTGAAGGGGTACAGGAAAAGCGCCAACAAAGGGGGATTTGGGGGGGTGGGGGTTGGGGAGGAGGGGGGGGGAGTGACTGGGGTGGGGCGGGGGAGGGGGATTCGGGGGTGGCTGGAGGCGGGGATAGGGTGGGGTGGGGCTCGGAGGGGGGGGGGGGCGGGGCATGGGGCCAATGCTGGGTTGGGTTTGTGGGGTGTAGGGGTTCGAGTGAAGGGGTACAGGGAAAGCGCCAAAAAGGGGGGTGGGTAGGGGGCATGGGGAGCGATGAAATGCTCGCAAAGCTCGCAATTTGTAAACCAGGATAAAGAAAGTTTAGCGTCTTTTAGGGGGTGACTGGGGTGGGGGGTGGGGGGGGGGAGGCATGGGGGTAATTAGGGGGCATGGAGGGGGGCGGAGGGTGACTGCTCGGGGAAGCCCTTCACTTGCAGCTTGCCGAGTTCGGCGGATATATAAAGTATGCACATACAGATGCCAAGGGCCAGACAAGTCATTATATAAGCAGCAGCTCCAGGGCGGCAAGCTCTTTGCGAAGAGCCAAGCTGCTTCAAGGCTTCAGCTTTCAGGGCTGTTGGGGTTTTGGGGGGGTTAGGGGTTCGCAGTTCGGAGCCCTGTAAGCCCTAAACCCTAAACCCTATAAGCCTTAGAATGTCGTGGTTGTGTTCTTGCTTGAAGCCTTTCTGGACATCTTTTGAGAACGTTGCCTCGCATCATGTGGACGGCCCCTCGAGACTCCAGGCCTCCATCCTAACGCCCTGGTTGAGGGTTTAGGGTTTAGGGTTTAGGGCAAAACCCCTAAACCCAAAGCCGAAGACCCTCTCAAGTGATGAAGGCCAAGGGTGAGGAGCAGAAATGCCACCTTGTGCGAGGCTTCAGAGCTCATTTTCGGGTCCGGAGACCACTCTGGGCGCCGGACCCCAACCAGAGTTTGAACTCCAGGGTTTAGGTTTGAGGGTTTAGGGTTTATAGGGTTTAGGGTTTGGGGTTTAGGGTTTAGAGATCCTACTAACAGTAGTGACATTTCTTTTTGAGGCTCGGACGCCTGCACTTCTCTGGCTCCGGGGTGCTCTGTGCATTTCTTTTGTTGGTCGAAGGGTGTCCCTTGGGAGTTTAAGTGACGAGATGTTTCTGCAGTGCTTGTAGAATTGCCTGGCAGTTTGAAGTAGTCGCAGAGTTCGCATGCGAGCTCGGCGGGTGGCAAAAAGGAGATCACAAACACGCCTAGACCCCGTGAACCCCCCCAGACCCTATAAACCCAATATAAGGCCCAAGATGAACCCAAAATGAACCGAAAATAACAGAACATAAGATCCCAAAAGAAAAACAAACATACATATAAATATAAACGAATATATATATATATATATATATATATATATATATTTATTTATTTATATTTATATTTATATTTATATTTATATTTATATTTATATTCATATTTATATTTATATGTATATTCATATTTATATTTATATTTATATTTATATTTATATTTCTTTATGTATTTTATGTATTATGTTTCTTTATTTTTTTATGTATTGACTATACGCTATAAAACATAAGCCTCGAAATAGGCCCCCTCTCTCTACATATATATATATATATACATATATATATATATATAACCGATAACTCACAAAGCGAAAAAGCCACTGAATTCTGATGGCAGACTCAGGTTCAAGGCTGCCCGGGAACGCATCCGGCGGATTCAGCTCGGACTGGGGCCCAACGACCCGCTCCCGGAGGAGGCCGCGGGGGTTTCGGGTTTAGGGTTCAGGGTTTAGGGTTTAGGGTTTAGGGTCTTACGAGGGTCTAGGGTTTAGGGGGAGAGGGGGAGCATCGGGAATTGATGTTATCATCGGTTTGGCCGTTGGGGCTTCAGGTGGTCTTGAGGTATGAGGTTTGGAGTTGAGGATTTCCGAAATCGGAGTACCCAAAGTACTATAGAGTCCTTTCAAAGGAGCCGCCAAAAAAGGTACCCCTGTCTTCGGAAACCCACTGTTCCCTTCTTGCGGCACTAGCCTGCGCAACTGCACCACGCACAACCTGCCTCGTTCTCATTGTTCGTACTACATCGCCAGTCGTAGCTTAAGCCTTAAGCTTTACATCGTTTGTTGCAGTCGCATATGTCAGAGGGAGCAAAAGAGACTGCATGAGAGAGCAAAATTCTTTCTTGGCCAGGACGAGGAACAGGCAGAAGCTGAGCCCGACGTGGTCCCGGGCCCTGCCGCAGGCTGGTCGAAACCCAGAATCCCCCGCCTGATTTTGAATATGTAGCTTGAAGGTTAGGGCTAGCAGTTAGGCAGGTGGGGGGGGGGGGGGGGGGTAATGGGCATTCTCCAAAATCCTGCAGACGCACAGCACATCAACTCCCCAATCCCTTTACCTCAAATTGGCCCTCGGTTCGTCCCGTGGGCAGTGCGGGTGGCAACAAGTTGGCCAATTGCCGGCTGGTGCCTGCTTTGACCACGCTGAAGGCAACTTAAACCCTAAACCCGAGTAACTACACGTACCACTGCAAGAGTCAGCTGACGATTCCATGCCTGACAACTGTCCAGGCGCCCTGGACCTTGCAGAGGCAGATGCTGCGGTGGAGGCGCCCGATAGCAGCCTCTTTATACCGTTGACTTGATGGATTCTCATAGCCTTGTTTTGGAAGCTTGAAATTTTCTGGCCCCCTGGTCCTTTCCACTAGAAGATCGGACCATCGCCAGTGGCAGGTTAACGCTTCTCATCTCCAAAACATCCAAACGGATGCCTTGTCGTCTGCTTTGCTGATTCCTGCTGCCACATGTGCTTCAGCGAGGCTGCAAAGGCCCAAGTGTCTGCGTACGTCACTGTGACGGACGCGTCGGACGAGGAGGACGTCAAGGCAGAATGGGCTGCTGATGAAGCAAGAAATAGATTCAACTGTAAGCCATCCTCCAGCAAAAAGTCGCAATGCCGTATTTTATTGATCTTGCAGTATCTCGTTGATTTTCGCGGGCGATGGGGTTCCGGAACTGGCATTCAGCTCTAGCAGGGAGAGCAGGGTTGTCCTCAGCAGTCGCGGCAAAGGTTCAGGACGCCTTTGCGGGCTCGGAGAAGGATGTGCCAGAATTGCAGCCGGAAACGCCGGAGAAGCCGAAGAAAGAAGACAAGTTCATCTTGCTCCAGTTGGCTGAGGACCCGGGTTGGCCAAGCACCGGAATACATTTTGCAAAGCTGACAAAGTCTCTCTAGGGTTTAGGGTTTAGGGTTTAGGGCTTTGCAGGACCTTCAGGTCGTCACGCTGCCAACGCCAGGCGAGCACGGAGTGCCCAAGTGTTTGCATGGAAATCTGTGCCGAAAGAGGTTCAACCTATAGCAGGTAGCTCCCCCTGAACGCCACCATTGGTATGTTGATGTAGCAACTCATCGATCAAGGCTTCTGGATGTCCCCCTTGTGGTCTGGGCTTTCCGGCAGGTGAAGTTGCCCAGACCTTCGGCATCGTTTTGCTTCTGGTCGCCGCCTATACAGGCGTGGCTCGGGTTGCGGGTCGCTGGGGCCACAAGTCCGGTTTGCGCATTGCTGGCAGACCCAGGTTCAGATCCAAGATTACCTGGCAGCGGCTCACAATTCAAATCTTGACTCACACACCAAGCCACCCAAACTCCTATTTTCTCTCGCTCTGAAGGCTTCGTGGCCGTGGTGGACTTTAGTGCCCAAGAGGCCCACCGGTCAGGTTTGGATTCCGGATTCGAGAGTTGAGTCTGTTTCTCTTGATTGTAGGGCTCCTACAGCCTAAGCCCTAAGCCTTTGGGCTGTTTGAAGGACAAGGTTCGGATGTTTCTGCCCCAGCCCTGCTCGCCTACTTCTACAAACGTGCCGGTGTTGTGAAGACATGCCCCGCCGTTCTTCGTTTGAGGTTGGACGAATTGCATATAGGCCAGGCTGATGGAACTCATGAACTAGTTGGTGCTATTGATAAATTAGTGACCAATTCGCGAGCGACTGACGGAATGATTGGACGATTTCTCATCAAGCCGCAGGTCCTGGGACAAGTGTTCTCCGACTTCTACAAGGCAAACGTACACATTGTGCGCTTCGCTTTTGTTGCTGCCGAGTGCAGACGCCTTCCTCAGCATCTCCTGCACAGATCCTCACTCAACCTGTAGTCCCTATACCCTATTACCACTTAAAGGGTTGCCCCTTCAACTGTTACCTCTTGACGGAAGCCTGTAGTCCCTAAACCCGATTACCCCTTAAAGGGTACCAGAGTCGAATTTGAGCTTCATGGCCCGGAGGCCGCGCGGCCCGAAGCTCCATCCCTGTGAGATTATAACCTGAGCTCCTGTCAAGCTGGACTGGGAGCAGGTAGGATCAGTAGGATCTGCATTGCGGTTGGGAACTGGGAAGAATCTGTCCATTGGAATGAAGAAAACGATCTTCAGAGGGGATTGTATCATTAGGCGATGAGCCTCTTCCTCGGAGGCTCGGCTTGTAGGCTTGAAGGGTCATGGTTGAGGTCACGACCCGAAAGGGTCTTAGAGACGCAGCAGTAAGGCTGCTGCAGGCTGCTGCTGGGGTTCCAGTCCCATCTCATAACGCACACCATAGAAGCTGATCTAAAGTTGCTCGTGGGACTCGGACGGCCAATGAAAGCCCCTTACCGGTGGGCAGCATCATACGGCCATATCTATTGGACCGGCGGTGTTTTCTACGCAGTAATTTTCGAGACTCAGCGAGAAGAGAAACAGCAGCGTGGGGAGCACCGGTGGGGAGCTACGAGTTGCAGCATCTCTCTTGGGCCTGCTTAGGGCACGCCATCAGTACTTTTAGGGCATACCGGGCATACTTGCACTCTGGCATGTACCCTGAAGCTGCGCTAAGGCTCAGATCCACTTGTCCAACATGGTGGCAGAGATTTCCAAGGCACCGAAGGAGGACGAGCTGTGGGCAAGGGAGATGTTTTAGACACTTTCGGGGGGCGAGGCGACAAACATCGGAACCTTGAAAGATTCATCATGCACCACATGAGGAGCCAGACTTCTCACTTATCGAAGAGACGGTGCAGGCAGGGCTAAAACCCCTCAGAGGCATGTGCGAAACGTGGATTTCTCTAGCATTTCTCGAAACTGGTCTCGGTCGAAGGGCTCGGTGCGTTTCACAAACCTCTTTTGACCACAAGCTCGGGATCTCCAACGTTTTCCGCGGCATTTCCGTTCCGCCAGGATTTGGAAGGGACTTGGAATAGCAACAGTGCGTATGTGCACGATTGCAAGTAACTCACGGACAGGATCGAGGAATCTTGAACGACAAGACTTCTCGCATCTTGTGCGACCATCGAACTGTTTCCACAGTGGGGTTGGCAACAAACACACCAGAATCAGCTCTAACCCTCCATGGCCCCTCATGATCCCAATTTCCTCAACTCAACTCAACAACTCCAAAGGCACACTCAAGTCAACTCCTAGATGGAATACAGGCACCCCCATCTGCCTGTTGCGTTTGCGGAGGCTGCATGGAGAGCACGGGATGCAGCGTGGCGCCGGCAAGAGCTGATGGGGGGGGGGGGGCTTAGTTTAGGGTTTAGGGTTTAGGGTTTTGTTTAGGGTTTGGGGTGGAGGCTTACTTGGGGCTTTAATGGTTTGACGGACCGACGCATGATCAGGTTATCCAGCAGAAGAATTCTTGAGGCGTGTAGCCTCAAGTCCGCGGCGGCATGCATCCTTTTGACTGCCCCAGCATTACTACACCGGAAATGGTGCTGGAAATGCAATAAAGATGAAGCGCGTACGGTACTTCTTCAAAGATCCAAATCGGAGGGCCCCCCCGGACCTGTAGTCTGCTCGGAGGAGTTCATGCTTTGGACCTTGGGTTTCTCTCTGTTTAAGTATTGGTTTAGGGCCGGGGTTCTCAACGTGTTTACTATGGTTCCAAAAGTAGATGACGGAAGAAGTGACACTACCCGAGTTGAAGTACGCCAGGCATGTGGTCTTCGAGGAGGACGGCACCGAGAAGACCAAGGCACTCTTAGCACCTATCGAGTACCTCCTGGCCCAAAGCTCAGACACTGATGGGGCTCATGAGGGTTCGGTGTCTGTAGGTTTGAAGCACCAGTTGGTGCCTTGAGGCTCAGACTTTCTTGGCGATCAAGGATGCAGACCAGGTGTGGCATTGCCTCTAACCCCTGCCATCCGATAACCTGATCTGATGAAGCCGCGAGCCTGACAAACAAATCAGAGATGTGAGGGAAAGACCTTGTTGCACGTACGCAGGTTTCGATATGCGCTTTAAGTTGAGCGCTTCATGCCGACACATGCCGACAGGATATTGCACCCCTGCACAGTGCTTTTCGGCAAGTGCAACAATAGTGGAGTGCAAGAGTGGGTGAGCGGGTATGGGGTGGATGTCCAAACATAATGCAATTCGAAAACCTGATTCCCCTCATGGACCCCCTCGCAGGAAGCAGTAGCAAGATACAGTATCTTCTTGGCAGGCCATGGTCCATGTCGAGGAAGGTGAGACCTTGTGCAACGACTTGCAGGCCCACGTTCCGTGCACGTGTCTCAGGGTTTGGGGTTAGGGTTTAGAGTTTCGGAAACCCTTTGTGGGCAACGATGAACCAGAACAGCGCACCACAGCCTTAAGAAGTCAAGTGCGCCAGGATGAGACGGGCCAAATCATTGGATTCATCCTCCGATCCTATGCGTGAGCCTCAGGACCGTCTAGGCCTGCTGTAAATGTCCTCTAGAATCCGTGAACCACACCAAACACGTCTGAACTCAGCTGAAGACACACATAGATGTCAGAGATGCTGGCCCACTTATTTTCCCAGAAGTCTTATAGGGCCGCCCTCAAGGTGGCGATTCTCAGACACGATATGCTGACCGCCAAGCGCGAGGCTGGGCAATGGTTCCGCAAAAAGGGTTTGTTTACTGGTCTCGCTGGTGGCATCAAGCTCAGTCTTTGGCTTCTAGATGGCACGCATTGCTTGGTTCCATTCCGTGCACCTAGCACGTGCATGTTGAGAGACGGCGCAGCAGACGCTTTCACCGAGCATCTGTTCAGGCAGAGAAGGCGAGCAACAAGTCGAAGGACATAGGCCGCGGTCAGTCGGTCAACTGGGCACATCTCGGCACAACAGGTGTTCAGTAGTATCCTGCAGATGTGGTGGCTTGTTGTGCGGGGCAAGAGGAACACCGGACATGCAAACACAGCTTGTCCAGATCTTGGACCCGCAGGCTACGAGTTCGGTTCCTCCCTGTGTGATGGTATCTTCGAGCTGGTGGAAAGCTCGCCCGGTGCCCTGTTCACGGGATCACGGGATTCATGTCCATTTCCTCCATGATTCGGGGGGTTCATTTTGGGCATGCGTTATTGGAGAGTTCCATGGATGCACTCTGTTTGAAGCGGTGCACCCATTTTTGCTGTGGCAACTTCAATTAAGTCGGGCCTCTTGGAAGTTGCAATTCAGTCGAGGGAGGGCGTTATGCAAAATATCTATATCTATATATATATATATGTATATGTGTGTGTACGTACATATATACATACATATATGATATTTATGTATATCTGTTAGTTAGTGGTGCGCGTATATATCCGAGGTCGTTTAGGGGATACCAAAATTTAAGCCCCACTTCATGTCATGAGTCATGAAGCTTTCTTGTTTGTTACAAGCCTGAGGCCCCTGAGCACACAAAGCCGTAGAAATTCAAGCTTTGCAGTGCCATCTTCTCCCTTGCGGAACCAAGAAAAGAGCCTGGCTGTTCAATCAAGTCTCCGCCCTAAGGAAGGATGCTGAAGGACTGACAGCTGCATGTCCTGTGTGTAGCGTTTCTGCGTCCGCATTCCTGCCCTGAGACAAAGCTTGTGCCTGAAGTAGAGAGCGAGATTTTGGGGGTTATAGGGTTTATAGGGTTTAGAAGATTCATAAGATTGACTGGGTTCAGGGCTTAGAGGGTTTACGTGGGCGCATGTTTGCACAGGAGGCATCCCATCGGCGCCTCCCCTCATGCCAGCCATGCCTGCCGCAGTCTTAGTGCACCAGAAATCAAGGGACCAAAGGAGGGACCCTTATATTATTATATTACATGATATTATATATTATGTAATATTATCTTATCTTATAAGGGACCTCAGGGTTATGTGGGGGTTTATTTAGGGTATATAAGGACTATATAAGGTATGTTTTACAAGTGTTATATAGGGGAATAAGATTAAGGGTCCCTCCTTCTACCCCTTAAATAAAGAAGCCAAGGGGGCTGCAAGTGGGGCCTTTAAGGGAGCATAAGGGCCATATTGGGAGTACATTATACGGGAAGCCCTTGGGAATATATCCTGACGGCTGCGTGTTAATCCAAATGGTTTCACATCGGTTGTCGGCTGTTGACTTTTGGCATGTCTTGATCCTACTCAGCAAGTCCGGATTTTGCCACCCAAGCCCTACTGCCAGTGTCAAAGCTGGAGCGACTTGTGCATACCTTAAACCCTGGGTGTTCAGGGGTTCGCCCTTAAGCCCCGCTTGGCTTGGAAGAAGTTGTGGCCTCAGTGTCAAGCCCTTGTCATGGGCCAATCCCAAGCCTCGCTGGAAGAGGATGCAGATGCTTCTCCCCTCAGCCCGGAGGGCAGGTATGGCCGTCTGTCAATCCCAGAGCTTAAGGCTCTGGCGGCTAAGCGTGGCCTACCAGTCCCGGCTGAGGTGGCTTCCAGTGCCGAAAGGACATTGCTGTCGTCGATCCTTCGCAGCTACGACATCGGGCGGAAGGGGACGTGCTCTGGCAGTATGTGCATAGATGCCGAAGAAGAACAAGTTGTGGTAAGAAGCCGAAGCAAGGTCTGCTCTTCAGTTCTTTCTGCGCTGCAGAAGATCCGCGATGCGCCTGGACACATGGGGTGCGACATTGGAGGATCCCTGGCCAAAATGGTGCTGGCGCTCCCTGAGCACCAGGCAGCCCAGTACCGCTTTCCGGAATGTTTCGGCACGAGCGGTCGGACGCACAACCACTTGGAGATGACCATTGAGGCGCAGGGGAAGAAGTATGTCCTGCGCTTCATCTCCGGTTCGACATCGCAGCTGGAGATGGCGGTCGCCCACTTGGGCGACCGCCGGCGTGACTTCGGCCGCAGACACTCCGAACCCAATTTTTTTGATTCTGAGATGCTGGAGCCAGAGAAACCGGATCCGTGCCCGGATCAGCACGCTGAGTCAGAAGACGCTGACAGGCCAAGGTCTGTGCGGAGATTTTCGAGCTGGTCCGATGAGGTGTTCACGGCCTCTGACCGCCCACACCGTCGAATGGCCACCGCGGGTGGCGGTGCCTGTAAGTTTGCGCCGCTGTTTCGCGATGCCTTGCGGGTAGAGCTGGAGCCTGTCCGGGAGATGTCTGCCATGGTAGATGGGCTCCTCCTCCTCGCGCCGCCGGAGTGCCTGACAGGCACAGACGGCACGGGAGGCAGCGGAGATGGCACGCAGCAAGACATCTTCACCGTCACTGAGGATGGCGCAACCATTGCAAGGCCATGGCCGCAGCCGCTGTTTCCGATGATCTTGGTCATCATGGGAACCGGTGTTTCGATCCTCCGCGTAGACTCTGCAGCTCCCGGCGACTTCGTACGCGTCGGCGGCACAGCCTGTGGTGGAGGCTCATTCTTGGGCCTGGCACGCATGCTGACTTCTGCGAAGAGCTTCGACGAAGCTCTCAGCCTTGCTGCGGACGGCAACGCGCAGAATGCGGACAAGCTCGTCAGCGACATCTATGGGGAAGACGGTTGCCTGACCCTGGGCCTGCCTGGCAACCTCACAGCCTCGAACTTCGGGAAGCTGGGCGAGATGAGCGAAGCAAAATGCTCAGAGCAAGATTTGGCCAGATCTCTGTTGCACATGGTCACGCCGCAATCTGTCCTTCTGGCTGCCGCACACGCCAAGATGGCGGGCTGCATTGATCGGGTGTTCTTCGCCGGAGGCTTCGTGGACGAGAAGAACTGGATTGCGCGCAAGGCCATCGCGGCGACCTTTCGCAACCTGCAAGGCTGCGCCTACTTCCTGCGCCACTCCGACTTTCTTGGTGCGCTGGGCAGCCTACGGGGCGCCTTGCGAGCGCTGGAGGAGGATCTTCCCGCTGCTTAGGCTTAGGGGCTTAGCGTGAGCTGAAGAGGGCATCGGTCCCACAAGCTGCGGCTTGCTACGCGCTTGGCCGAAGTCTTTTGCAGCCCCCAACTCTATCCCCCAAACCCTAACCCTAAACCCCAAGCATGTTCTGAAAAGTTCGGAAAGTTGCCAGCAAGCCAGCCTGTCGCCGGTTCAGGTAGTGCAGGCGGCAGCATTAATTCGGAAGTTGGGGTTGCTTTTTGGCATGAATCTTCTGTATTGCGCCGGCACAGGTGCAGCATGCCAGATCCCGCAACCCTGTCCTTCACCCGCTGCAGCGCCCGGTATGCAAGAGTGCAGAGATTCCAATACACCTTACGAAGGCAATAGAGTCCTTATAAGAGAGATTTGGAAGGCAGACTAAACCTTAAGCATCTCTGTTGCAATGAGGAATCAGAACTGCAAGCTTGCAGCCAAACAGGTGAAACTATTTCGCTTTCGTTCCAGAAGCATGTTCATCTGTTGCTTCTCATGGCCAGGAATTGGCCGCTACTTGCCATTCCTTTGGGAGGTTTCTTAAACCCTACACGGCCAAAACAAAAAAAACGGATCTCGCAAGCTTTTCCTAAGGAGCAAGGCCAGTCAGACAGCTCACGGCCTTCCGCTGTGGTTTCAAGCTACGCCCTAACCCCCTTGGTTTTTGAACCCTAAACCCTAAACCCTAAGCCCTAGATCTGACTTGCTTTGCATCTGCTTGTGAGACCACGCCGTTCTGGAGCCATTAGACGAATCTGTTGCCAAGCGACCACGGGCTTTGAAGCTAGGCTGCTTTGCACAACATCTTCCCCAAGGAGCCCAAATAGCCCTGAAGGAAGGCACTTAAACCCTAAACCCTAAACCCTAAAGATAGAGTTCAATGTCCATTCTCTGTTTTAAACGGGGTCTTGGGCTCTTTGGCTTTCATGCTTGACTCCGACTCTTCAGCCCTAACACGCGGGAGCGTAGACTCCTATTCTGCGTGCGAAGAGGGAACAAAAAAAACTATCGCAGTTTCTCCAGCTGTCTCCAATGTGATGCAGTTGCGGTGTCTTGGATCTGCCCGGAACCGTGCGCCGGTGTGAGAGTCGAAACCCTCTCAGGACATGCCAACGGGCATGCCGAACATGCCCCGACCGGGTGGTCCACGACCTCCCATGGGCCGGCCTCCTCCAGGCCCAGATTGGATCATTGCTTCGGGTCTTGGGTTTAGGGTTTAGGGTTTGGGGTTTGGGGTTTAGGGTTCAGGGGCTTCTAGGATCATAAGCAATATACGGGGTATGAAGGACCCTAAGCCCTATAAGCCCGAAACTGTGTACTGTTTCGCGCTGGCGGCCCGATGTTCGCTGTTCGGAGATGGTGCTGCAGAAACCTACGTTTACCCTAAACCCTAAACCCTAAATGGATTTGGTGTCAGGACCTGTATGTCATAGTGGAAGCCTCGCTGCTGCCGGAGTGCTGGGTCTCCGAAATTGGGGGGCTGTTGCGCTCAGTACCTGTTTCCCCAGTTGCGCTTTAAGTGCATCGGGCTCCTGTTTTCGTCTCGCGCTCGGAGTGCCGCTCATCAGAGATAGCGCTGCAGAAATGGATTTTGGTCCTCAATCCTAAACCCTAAACCCTAAACCCTAAACCCTAAACCCTAAACCCTAAACCCCAAACCCTAAACCCTAAACCCTAAACCCTAACCCTAAACCCTAAACCCTTCTCCAGCTGTCTCGGGAGGCCCCGGGGGTTTTGCCCCGATGCCCGGTGGCGCGGAGAGCGCCGCGCCGGTGGTGGCGAAGCCCAAGATCGTCGGGCGGCCCAAAAGTCTGAGTAAGTTGCAAGGGCGTTTTAGGGCTTAGGGTTTAGGATTTAGGATTTAGGATTTAGGGTTTAGGGTTTAGGGTTTAGGATTTAGGATTTAGGGTTTAGGGTTTAGGGTTTAGGGTTTAGGGCTCAGGGCAGCCGGTTGGTGCTGCGTCTTGCCTCAGCTAGTTGCTAGTTGTGTGGATTCTTGCCACGCAGTGTTCGAACAGGCCTGGATGCAAAAAGGGCTTCGGGTAAGAATGAAAAGGTTGCTGTAATGTTCAGGGGTGGCACTTTTCGCATAACAAACCTCGAGCATCCTCTAACCCTATGGGCACCGAAGCCACGCAAAGTCGCGAGCCTGCCCACAACCAAGATTGGCCCTTTAGGGGTTTAGGGTTTAGGGTTTGGAGTTTAGGGTTTGGGGTTTGGGGTTTGGGGTTTGGGGTTTGGGGGGAGGGGGGGGGGGGGGGGGGCGACTCCAGTGACCACCATTAAAGAAGACTTACAGAGGAGCCGGAGATGGTCAAGGTGCAGATCCAGGATGTTGCGCCCGGAGCCGCAGAGCTCTCTGTCTCTGTGGGGTCTTCTTTTCTTTAGTAAAGTTGTCTTCTTTTCTTTGGTAGGGTTTGGGGTTTAGGGTTTCGGGTTTAGGGTTTAGGGTTTATAGGGTTTAGGGTAGGTTTCGCATTCTGTTGCAAAAAGGTTGTGTCCACGAGGGCGCGGTAAGGGTTGAGATTTGAGCGTTACAGGGGAAGGACGAGCGGCTAACAAAACACACAGGGCCTCACGGTCACTCCAGTGCAATGTAGATGTTTGGACCTTGACAATGATTGCATACGCGGGGAGCATGATTCTCGGGGTTTGGGCTTCTTTGCTCTTGCCTGAGTGAGACACGCCTGCTCCTTACAAAGGGTCCCCAGGTAAGCTTCCATGAGAGAGTGCACCCGATGCAAAGAGCAAGGTCGAGCCTGATTGGCGATGACAACATTGCAGCAGACACGCCGTTGATGGATGCAGGCCGAGATGGTTTGGGAAGCAGTCTCAACTATGGCATTTGCAGTGGTATCTTGTTCCTGACATAGGCGAGAAGCCTAGAATCAGGATGGCCCTTGAGACCTTGCTTCCGACAGGCTTGGACAGTCTGTCCATGGTCGAGTTCCGAAACGAGCTTCTCAAGGCCAGGGCTTTGGGGAAAAGTCAGTTCTTGTAGCCCTGTAGTGGGTAGTGCACTGGGTGTCTTTCCATAGGGCTTTGTCCAATCAAGGCTCGTTGACTTCGACATCACTACGAAACCAACACTAGACCTTCCAACTTCCCTGTGAGTTCTATGTGAATGTCGACCCTGCTGCCGCTTGCTGCGAGCCTCTTGCCACGTTGACACTGCACCATGAGCTTGAAAATTAATGCCATCTATGGTTTAGGGCTTAGGGTTTATACATACAGGGCTTAAGGTCTGTGGGTTTGAGGTAGGTTTAGGGTCTAGGGTTTTGTAGCCCAACCCTACAAACTTAAGCCAAGGCCCCAAACTGGAAGTCATGCACTAGCCCCTTTTCTCAAGTAGGTTTGATCAAATTCCCAGCCGGAAGGAGTCAATATACCCCGCAACACCGCCGGTTGCCAGGAGTTCCCTGGAATCAGCCTCCCCGGCGCCTTGCTCTTCGATTATCCGACAGCCGGGGACCCTGGGGCCCTGCTACCTTACATCGCTACCTACACGTCAGGCAACACTGAGAAACCTGCAATGTTCATCAGCCATCTTGCCTTACGCACGCTCCAGCAGCTGAAGCTGTCCAGGTCAACTCTCTGAGGGATTTCATCTTCCAGACCTTGATGGACAGCTGACAGCTTCCAGGTGGTGCTTGCTGTGCCCAGCTGGCCTTAGGGCACCTCTTGTCTCAACATCAGCATGGGAGTTTCTTTCCTGTGTAGCAGGTGGCATCTACTCGAAGTTGCGAAGAACAGGATTTCAGGGCAGTTGGGTTTTATTTAGAGAGGTGACGTTCTATGGGTTGCACCACGCCGGCAAGCCTGGCACCAACGCGTGGGCAGACCTCTTAACACAATCTAGGACGTTGAGGTGTGGTGCCCCCGAATCTGCATGCTTTCCGCTGCACGTGCGGCTCAAAGCTTTGCCGGCCATGCGCTGAAGGAGAGCGGAGGCGAGATGCACATATAAGTCTTTCCAGTGATAGGGTATACACTTGGCGAACCATAACGATCTCTACTGATCGTGATATAGGCAGTTGCCGCTTCAGGCCGATGGCTGATGCAAATTTCGATTAGAGCCAACTCTTTGCATCGGACCAAGCTAGACTTCGCTGCTTCTGCAGAAGCGACAGACCTGGAGTGCAGGGTTTGTAAGCCGGAAAACTGAAAGTCTGTTGGGTGAGATCTGCAGTTCAGGCGAGGCCATGAACCCCATGATGCAGGGCGCCTTTGCAGCAGTTAGAGGAGCTTGGCTCTTTTGGGAGGGGAATCTCTGACAGGCCCAGTTGTTACAGGCCAACTTTCAAGCATTTTGAGTTTCATTCCCGGCTTGATGTCGGGATGATCCGGCCAGGCTGCGGCATGGGAATGCCGCGTCCAGCCATGGGCGGCGGCTGCAACCCGATGGCGCAGCAGCAGACTCTTGGGACAACTTCACAGAGCGAGATAGGTGGAAGAAGTTTGAGTAGTCAGTGTTCAGAACCGCCGCCCCCCCTTGCTCGAACTTCAGATTCGCAGGGGGCCTCTTCAATCTCAATGCTGCCATAGTGCTCCCGCTCAAGCGCCTTCAGCACCAAACTGTGACCTGCTTGTCGTGAGATTAGAGCAGGCTGCTTCGAGAGCCAATTCCACAATAGTGTCACTACAAACATTCCAACTAGTTTGTGGGCCAACTTGCTCGAGGATGATGATGCAGCAACAGCAGCAGCAGATGATGATGCAGCAGCCGCTTTCCTGTCCATGACTCCACACGTGGCTTTGGATTAGAGGAGCAGGTATTCATAGAATTGCGAAGTCTTCGCAAGGATGCTCAGAATAGGCGAGGGGCGTGAAAAGCATGAAGGCTGCAGTCGCTGTAGGGTCATCAGGGCTGTGTCCAAGGTTCAATGTCTCTTAATGCAGTGTATAGGTGGCGGGTTCTATGTGACTCACGCACTTGTCTTTGTGGACAGAACAGTCTTGCTGCATCCCAGGCAGCAAATGATGAACCAGATGATGATGGGAGGCGGTGGATGCGATATGTGCCTTGTCTTGCATCACTGTCCTCTTAGAAAACTCAAAGCCAGGCAATGAGAGTGCAGGGGCCCGAGGTGTCCCTGAGGGGCTGAGAATTGTGGGCCTATTCCAAAACCTACTCACACTTGGCTTCACATGCTGGGTCGTTTCAGTCAGTACTGGCTCAAAACGGCTACATTCGGCGACATTGCTCACCATGTACTGTCTGGCTAGCTTGCAACAACATGTGCCAAGTAACAGAGCCGAACGTTGGCTTTTGAATTTACAAAGTCCTCGTAAGTGTTTGCCGAAGGCGTGCAGAACTGCACAGCCATGCCGCGTCAGGACAAAGACCCGCTGCATCACTCTACATGCGAATTGGTGCCCCAAGAGCACCGTCAAGCAGTGCACGCCAAGAACGGCCATGCGAGTGCAAAGGTGGATGCCCCCAGCCCCAATCGCAGTCGAAGCCCATGGAGGTGGTCTCAATGGTCACCGAATGGATCTGCCGTGAAGAACCCGGGAGCCACAGAGACTCGCTATGCAGAATCGATGGGAGAATCGCTGCCTCCTAGGTTTCCCAGCGCTACCGAGGACGCGCTGGAATGGCAGCAGCTAGGAGGCTCCAGAAGCGCGAGCGCCACCGCGAGCGCCAGCGCAGACGACCAGGTTGACCACTTTGAGTGGTCGCACGGGCAATGGTTGTATGGAAAGTATCGGCTGAACCGCTTGGCTGGAGATGGAACATTTGGACGGGTTTGCCTTGCTACCGACATGCGCAAGAAGAAGCAGGTCGCCATCAAAATCATCCGCAGGAAAGAGCATTACACAGCAAGTGCAAAAATTGAAGCTCTCATTTTAGCCAAGATCAATGAGGCTGACCCTTTCGGCCAGCATCGATGCAGCTACATGCACGACTCCTTCATGCTTGAGTCTGGACATTTCTGCATTGTTCTGGAGCCATTGGGCCCCAATTTGTACGATTTCATCAAGGCCAATCATTTCCGCGGTTTCTGGCTTGAAGACATCCAGAGCATGGCAAAGCAGATCTTGTATTCCCTATCCTTTCTACATGAAAGGCTTGACCTCACGCACACGGATTTGAAGCTCGAGAACATCCTTCTCGCAAGCATGGCCCCTGGCAGGATTTCCTGGTTCCCTCGCCAGGACTTCTGGGAGGCATCGCAAGAACAGGCCGGCAACGTGTGCAGGAAGTCCCCTCCCTACCTGCGACCCTGGAATGTTGGCATCAAGCTTATCGATTTCGGCAATGCTACAAGATATGAGGACAGTCACGGCGACCTCATCAACACGCGCCAATATCGAGGACCAGAGGTGATCCTGGAGACGGGTTGGGATGCCTCATCTGACCTCTGGTCAGCTGGCTGTATCTTCATGGAATTGTACACGGGAGAGATGCTCTTCCGTACGCACGAGAGCCTGGAACACTTGGCCCTCATAGAGCAGATCATTGGGCCGTTGCCGCAGCACATGACCGCCAAGTCCCCAACGAAGTTTCTCAAAAAGGTCAGCCCAAGAAGCGGTCAGTGGTCGCTGAACTGGCCTGAAGGGGCATCCTCCCAGTCCTCTCGCGACTTTGTGGACACCCAATTGCCGCTCTCCCAACAGGTGCAGCAGCGGGCCTCCGATTTGAAGCTTTCGGATCTGGTGGCCGCGCTGTGCAAGATTGACCCAGCAGAGCGGCTCACTGCCAAGCAGGCAATGAGGCACGACTTCTTCAGCCACTGGCCTGAGGACGAGTGTTGAGAGGCCCCCGGTCCGACGGAATCGCCAGCTGTGACCTGGCTTCCTGTTTCACTGCAAAATTCTAATATGAAGGACAGCGATTGTGGACGGCTGTGTGGGTTGAGACGTACTTAGAAGCAGCTGCCTGCAGCTGTGTGGCTAGGTTTGTTCTGAAGACCTTCGTGCCATTCCCGGCGCAACAAAGACCTGCCGCAGCCCCCAGCCCTCAGTGTGGCTCTTCAGCGCGTGGTGATGTAGTTCGACCATGGCACAGTTCCATTGCATTCCTCTTCACGGAAGATACTAAGATACTGTTTCGGGCCACGTCATAGGGACATAGGGAGGCTGGCTCTGAAGGCAGAGTCCCAGAGTAGAAGGCTCCAGCACATTCCGCGAACTCAGGAAGAAGATGCAAGAGATGATGAATCAGATGATGGGCGTCTCTGGATCCAGCAAGAAGAGCAAAGGGGAGAAGTCGGCCCCTCGCCTGACATGAGGGCTCATGCACTCCTAGGGCACCCAAGTGCAAATTCTCCGACACTTCTCGATTGTAGTCCTGGTCCTTTTCGGGGAGCTTCGCGGTAGGGGCCTCTTGGTGCTTGCATGTATCCGCTGCTGGGGCTAGATTGGCAGAGTCTCTTGACCTTGACCTTGTATGTTGAAGGAAATGCAGTACTTGTCTGACCTAGGACAGAATGAAACCTATCAGAAAATCTATATGGGAGACAGGGGTCTCGAAGGGCTCCCCAAATAGGGGCCCATACAATGACACATGGACAAGCAGACTGTTGGTAAGACTTGAGAATGCTGATAAGCCCAACTATCTCAACTCAACTCAGCATCCTAACGCCCGCCCAGTCGAAGAAGAAGCCCAAGAGCAACGACATGGTGATCTTTGTTGGAGGTGTCTTCGTGGGTGGGCTCCAGGGTTGTGACTGAGGGTGTGCCGGCCTTCAGGACTTTCGGCACTTATCAGTGTTGCGGTGGCTTGCTCCAGAGGACGCAAGTACAGCATGTTATGCTGCAGCAGTCAGAGAGCTTCTGCTGCCAGGCTTGCGGAAGACAACCGAGGAAGACAGAGCTCCCCGGCAGCATTGGGGCCACGGCGTCGGGGAGAACTCGAGTAGCAGTAGGTCCTGAAGAGCATTCTTATCGCTGCAGCCCCGAACATGTGAGTCGAGCCGCGATGGAAACAGCAAGCCGATGGGCCCCAGACAAGACACGGCCCTGAGACCCCCAAGTCTAGCGACCCCAAAGCCTGAGGTCACAGCCCACTTCGCGAAGTTTGGCCAGGCACACCTGGGCACTTGAAAACTGAAAACCTTTCAAACTGTCTCTTTGGGTGCTTCTTGGGGATCGTAGAGACTCCGTTCTTCATGTCCTACTTCGCGATCTCGCACGCTTGGGAAACGCATTCATCAGCGCAGATGCGATGATGCAGCACTGTCGGCTGGTTGCTATTTGTAAAATTGGGCATCTACCTGGTGTTAGTGACACACTGGCTTCCAGTGCTTCGCAAGGAAGAAGAGCTTTGATGTGGGCTGTCTGTCTGATTTGGTATGCTACCCAAGATCACCCTGAGCGTTTTCAGTAGCTACATTATCCCAGAGCTTCCGACAGCCCAAGAGCGTCCTCTTGAAGGTTCTTTTTTCGCAAAGCTGTACCTTTGGGGGACCAACTGAGGCCGAAAAGTGTGTAGCGTAGGGTATATAACCCCAATTTTAAGGTTCATAATTGGTCCGCCCCCCCGGGTAAAGTCAGAGAGAGCACTCCCAGAGGTGGAGCAAGTCGACATCAAGCGGCTCCCTGATGGCACTTCTCGTGGTTTCGCTTTCGTCAAGTTCTCCGACCACGATGCCTCTTGGGCTGCAGGTGCCCTAAGTTGCACCGAAACTCAAGGAACAGCCCTTGAAATAGGAAGTGAACTTGAGGGGGGCGATTCTTTCAGAGGAGGAATAGGGAGGTTCCGGCCATGGCGCCGTTTCCTGAGCTCTTGAGTGCGCTTGCGTGGAAGGCGGTGGAGAAGGTGATCGATGCGCATGCGAAACACATGATCGACAACAAGTGGGTGGAGGCGCAGTGGTGAAGCTTAAGGCTCCAGGTCCCTAAACCCTAAATCCTAAACCCTAAACCCTAAATCCTAAATCCTAAACCCTCTAAACCCCTAAACCCGAAAGCACAGTTTAACCACCAGGTGAAGCGCCACGATGGGGTCGCCGCCTCCGCGGGCCTCACCAGCTCCATACAGAAGGCCCGGCCTGAATAGAAATGCCTTCGGAACCCACACTCCAGTCTTGTGCAAAGTGCTTGGAGGTTCATGGTACTTAGTAACCCAGTTCTAACTGTCCCTATATCCCAATCATAACCCCATTGGGGTGCCAAAGGTGCTTATAGGTGGGTTATCCATACACTTATAATTGGTTTATAAGTACCCTGAACCTCCAAGAATCCTGGTACCATGACCTACAAGCATCCGTGGAACTTGCAGCTCTTGTCGCTGCCTGTTGCCTGTGGGAGGCCACCGAAGAGCCTGAGCTTCTGGGCCATGAAATTGAGAATTGGGCTGCATGCTTGGGCGGGTCGACAGTATCAGGGCGGGAGGAGGTGTGCTCAATGGAAGTCATGAGAAAAAAAACCACTCTGGGGTCGTGGCCAGTTTCGCTGGAACCCACAAGTCTGAAGCAGATTCCAGTTCCGAACTCAACCTGGCATGACAGCCCCCAGCGCCCTGATCAGCCTGCTACCAACCTCAACGCTGAACCCTCGCGAAACCCTAAGCTTTAGCCTTAAACCCTAAACCCGAATCCCTGCTTCTCGAGAGCAGGCATTTTTCAATCGCTTCTTAGAGGTCAATCCCGCCATAAACAGCGCTCTTTATTGGAAGGCCCTGCGCACCAGAAAAATGAAGACGCTTGACTGACTCAAAACCCTTACACTAAACCATTCAGCCAAGAAAGAACCCTTACACCCAAAAAAACATTCACCCAAGAAGCCCAACCAAGATCCATAGAACCATAGAGTGCCAACAAAAAGCCCAGGGAGGAAGCCGAGCCGGCAGGGGAGGAGTTTGCAGAGAAGTGGTCGGAGCGTCTTGGGCGAAGTTAGGGTTCAGGGTTAGGGGTTTCGGGTTTTGGGTTTTGAGTGTCGGGGTAAGAGGACGGCAAGAGTCTGGGTTCAAAGAAAGTTTAAGATTTATGGGGAACTGGTGAACTGCTTATGCTTACTCCCGAAAAGGTGTTGGGGAGGGAGGGGGGGGCTTTTTGTTGGGGTGATTACGGTTTCCGGCTTTCGGGGGTGGAGCTGTGCTTGGTGCCTCGCGATCTAAACCTGACCCCTGCAAGCGTTTATCAAGCCAAGGGCTGTCGACTTCCATAACATCTCTCCCTTTGGGCCTTCGGGAAGCTTTGGGGGTTTGGTTGATTTTGTCATGATTCGTCTAGCAGAGCTGGCCAACTACCAGGTAACAGCGTCAGCAGAGCTTCGTAGGGCGTCGGCCCTGAGCTTAACAAGGTTTTGGTGCAGAGCTGTTGCAACTTGAGGCAGTATCTCGCGATGGCATCGAAACTCGCAGAGAATGAGAAGGCCAAGCGGGGGCCCATGCCAAACTCCCAAAATTTCGGCGGGGTGCTGGCATGTACTTCCCAGGGTAGAGGGCCGCGTTGCAGTGCATGGCTGCAGGACGGAGGAGGCGAAAAGGAAGGAGGCGGTGGGGGTGGTAGCAGTTCCAAGAAGAGCGCCTTGGTTCGGAAGATTAATTTGTCAGTCGCTGTCAGTCGAGATCAGACTTTGGTGTAGTGATTCGGGAGACTTCTGAGCTCATGCGCACCTCATGGCCCTTTGTGTTTACATCTCGAGAATACGAGGTCCGTTTGAGAAGCTCATGAAGCAAATGGGCATGGACCCCGCGCCTGGACGGCAGTAGATCCGGAACTGTGCCCAACTTGAACCAACAAAAATCTGATTGCTGAAGCCTAAGTCGACTCAACCACTCCACTCCCATCCCCCCTACAGGCCGTCATGAAGCAGATGGGCATGGACCCGATCCTGAGCCGAATGACTGGCCGTGAGCAGAGTTAAAGAGTCAAAAGTTTCAAGTTTAAAACAAGTTAGTAATCTACTAAGTAGGTAAGTCTCTGTGTGAAGGGACGCCGGCCCGCCAAGGAAGCAGATGGAGAGCATGTTCAAGCAAATGGGCATCGACCCCTCTATGATGACGCAGATGATGGGAACCGCGGCGGAAACAAGGTACCCCCAAACTTGTAGGAATATATGGTTTAGGGTTATATTTAGGGTGTAGGGTTTAGGGTTTAGGGTTTTAGGGATGCCTGCCGATGTTTGTCGGGAAGCCGTGCTGCTCCGCGATTTGTCTCGCAGCTGAGGCAATATGAATCCCATGATGATGATGGGAGGCATGATGAACCCCATGATGATGGGTGGCATGGGCGGCTGCCCCATGGGCGGCAGCGGCTGCTCTGGCAGTGGCCCAGGTAGTGGCCCAGGCGCCTGCCCAGGTGGTGGAAACAACTCCGGTGGGAACTCCGGCGGAGCCTGCGGAGGGAGCTGCAGCGGTGGCTGCGGCGGGAATTGTGGTGGGAGCTGCGGCGGCTGTGGCCCAGGCTGCGGCGGCAATTGTGGGCCAGCAGGTGGCTGCTGCATGGGAGGTGGGATCAAAGCTTGGCAGACTCCGTTAAGTTCTGAACTGATGCACTGTAGCAGGCTGCTGTCCTGGGGGCGGCTGCGGTCCAGGTGGGCAGCCTTTTTCTCGGCGTGCGCAAAAACATCAAAGTGACGCAAGATGCACAGTCTTAGCGTGTAGGAACTCAAAGCTGACAGTCACAGCTGCCATAATATATATATATATATATATATTTTTTTATCTTGTTGACGACTCAGGCTGTGTCGCGCTGAAAAGTCTTAAAGAGCTCCCTTGGCCCACCTCTCACTCACAGGCTGCGGCCCAGGCTGCATGGGGCCTGGTTGCGGAGGCTGCGGAGGCTGCTGCGGCGGTTGCTGCGGTGGCTGTGGTGGAGGAGTTCGGGCCTGACATGATGAGTTATCAAACACCTTCCAACTCTGAAACTCAAACTTGTCGGGCCCAACCCTAACTGCAAAAACCAGTTCGGTCGTGGTTGGCGAAGCGTGTTGCCAGCGCGCCCCGGATCCAGAACGGGACTCAACAAGCTTAAAGGGGACCTGGGTCTCACGACATTGTAGCATGGCTCAATCGAGTCACATGCTCAACGGCACGAGCGACAGTTAGTTTCGATTTGCTGCCGATCCCCCCCCAAGCTATCCGACATGCCAACCATCACGGGCTACGGAAGATGACGGAGGATGCATGGGATGTGGTGGGCCTGGCTGCGGTGGCTGTGGTGGTTGCAACGAATCGTGCCCTGGCTCAAGCCATGGTGGCAATATCCGCGCAGATGGGTCATGACGTACCTAGGTCGGCGCCCTCGGACCGCCGCGACCGCTCGCGGTCGCCGCCGAAAGGGGGAGGCCGGAAATGAAGTTCAGGTTTGAGCATCATAATCATAGTATCTGCCCACTGATCCTCGTCATCCTCAAAGCAGCAAGGAAGCTTGCGAAGTGATTTGTCAATCTGTACGAAAGCCAGTTGCCATGCCACTACAGTAGTTACACGTTCTGCCTTGCTCACAGGCTTGGCCAGACGAGCCTCTGAAAATGGTCTCACGTTTCTCCACTCTTGTAGTTTGGGCGAAAGTCTTGGATTCATACCTAGGCAGCTACGGGTCATCAGGCTCGTCCCCGAAGCTTCCTGCAGCGCAGCCTCTGATTTCACGTGCTAACCTTTCGCTCGAGGTGAAATTGATGCCGGTTGAGTTGTTCCTGACATTTCCTGGACCTGGCATTTTAAATGCATGCTCCGGTCTTCAATCTCCGGTTTTTAATCTCCGTATCTCGAGCAAGCGAGCATGATGTGAAACTGGCCCGTGGCCTTGAACATCCTTGAACGAGCTGTACGCCTACGCCTCAACACATATCGTTCCCCACCCTCCGTGTGGGGTTGTTAGACTTTAAACTCAAGTCTTCTCCTCGCCCGGAACTCTTCTCCTCGCCTGGTCTACTCCTCGCTCATCCCTGGAGTGCCCAACTGCCCAACTCTAGTGTCCCTGGAGTGCCCAACCCCAGAGCCTCCCTGGCCCCACAGTCTAGAGTGTCCCCGGAGTGCCCAGCCCCAGAGTGTCCCTGGAGTGCCCAACCCCAGGGTATCTCTACCAAGAGAGGGTGGGGATGTTCGCAGTAAAATAATGTATTGTGTCAACAAACTACGCTGTATACATATCTAAAAATGTATAAGTTGTTTAATGCATCTGCAGGTGGTGGCATGGGCCCGGGGCCTTGTGGGCCATGTGGCTGCGGGCCCTGTGGACCCTGCGGACCCTGCGGCCCAGGCCACTGTTCAGTCACCGCTTAGATTTTCTCGGTGAGTCGCGATGTTGCGGCTATTTGATGGGCTCAGGGCCATTCAGGGCTGATGGATTTCAGAGGAGTCCGCAGTGTCACGCTTGGCACCGAAGCCCAAAGCCCATCCTCGGTGCACCCCAATCGAAACGCCCCGCTTGCCCGGAGGACCCTGCGGCCCTGGGCCCTGCGGTCCTGGGCCCTGCGGTCCTGGAGGTGGTTGCTTAGGCTCCTTGGCTGCGTTCTGGTTGCGTATGATAGGGTCTTAAGGCTTTTGAGGTTCTGGGTTTGTAAGTTTAGGGTCTACATAGCGAAGAATGATAGAATGTCAGCCGAAGCGAGAACACGGCAATTAGTCGCCAAGGGTGCGTCTGGTTCAAACGATGTCATGCCCCCCACCTCCCTCGAAAGACTTTGAATGCGATGAGGCATGGCGATCTCTTGAGGACCCCTTTCAAGTTCGCCCGAAACCCGAAGATCCTAGAACAAAGAAGCCAAACCCTTACTGTACTGGTCTGGTCAGGTTTGCCAAGACCGCCGCCACCTCCCCGGGCTATTTCGGACTGGGAAAACCCTTCCGAAATTCCGGGCTTGGGTTTGCATCCTCTACCATGGTCCTACCTGCAAGCCCTGCCGGATGAACGTACCTATAGGTGTACTTGTCAAGGTTTTGGTTGAGGGGCGGGGGGGTTGGGCCTATTCAGGGTCCAGAAGAGGGGAGAGTGGACTCAGCCTGTTGATTCCACCTCTGTGTGTTCGTTCCCAGAGGTACATTGGACCCGAGCATGTCAAGTCGCTGCATTCTGAAGTCGACGCTGTTACGGTGTGTGCAACCATCGGGAGCACGCGCAAAACTCAACGTAGCAATCGTTGAGTTCATCGGAAAGGTGTATACGTGGTACAATTGCAAGAACACATCTTTGACTCGCCATATGAGTCAGATTATTATAAGGCATGAACATCCCCTCGATTGTCTCATATCGACCCCATACACAGTTTTGAACGAGAGCAGCTCAGACTCGCCTGCTTTGCCCTCACCAGGAGGACCCCGCGGCGAAAGCGGCGCGCGCCGCGGCTGCGGGAGCCGAGGCGGCAGCCTTTGCGCAGCAAGCCTCGAGGCATGGTCCGAGGGAGGGAAAAGTTTCGGGTTTACTGCGCGGGCGGGGGGGGGGGGGGGGTGATATCGAGTTTGCTGCAGGTTTAGTAGGGTTTCTGCGTCTCTTTGCGTGCAAGAGGGGTTTTAGGGTTCGCTTGTCATGGGTATCTATCACGGGTGATGCGTGGGCCTTCGTGGTGGAGCTCATTGGATGGCATGAAGGTTGCATGTGAATGGAAGGTTGGCTTGAAGGGAGTCAAGTCGAGACGAACGGATTTCCTATTGCAGCGTGGAGGCAATCCACAATCAGGGGGCGTTCGGCGTTCGCGTCCTTAACTTCTTCTCCCAAATCGACGCACTCCCAAATATCCCTGAGCCCTGAACCTGAACAGGATCGCCGAGACCTCGCGGGACGCCGCCCGCGATGCGGCCACCGCGAAATCTGCAGTGTGGTTCCACGGCTGCTAGGGTGTGGGGTTTGGGGTGTTGAGGTTGTTCTTGGGTTGCCTCGTTACTTCGTGTCCAGCCGTCTGAGTCAACGTCCAGAACGTTGGGCGCTCTGGGTGTAAGCCGGCGGCGCAGAGTCACATAGCACGTGGACCAAGCTTTTCAGTGAAGCAACCTTTCCGAAACATGATGCACTTTGTGCCATTCTCATGTTGACCCAGCAAGCCTTGCACAAAGATGGCCCAAAGTGGGCGCTGATTCAAGGAAGCTCCTCGAGCCCCAACAGCAGAAACTCTCCAACCCAAAGCCACAAACTCCACAAGACCTGTCTCAAAAGCCTCCACCGGGTCCCCGTTCAAAGTCTCCTGACAAGGGAGCCTTCGGCTCCGGCGCCGCCACCGCCCCCTAGCGAGAACTCGGGCCACTTCCGTTTCTGGGCACTTATGGGGGGTTCCTTGTGGGCTTGGGGAGGACCAAGGGGTCTTCAAGGGCCTGGGATTTTCGGGACGTGTGATTGCTTCGAGGGTTCAAAGGAGTTTGTTTTTGTGGAGCCTGTGAAAAAATCTGATGGAGCGAAGGGTAGTTCTGCAACCTAGGATTCTTGACAGGTTGTCATTGTGTCGGATCCAGACGTCGTTTCCTACGCGTTTTTTTGTTTTCTGTTTTTGTTTTTAATGTGTGATGCTGCCGCACACATTGACTCTACCATCTTCAGCTGTTTTTGCTGTGAAGTAAAGGGGCCCCGCGCGTTGCAGAGCTTGCGGCGTATCATCTCGATTGGGATGCGCTGACATTGTGTGGTTTTGAGGCGCAAAGAGTTGGTTTGGAAGTGACTCATCAGGAAGCTTGGCCTGGGGAAATGCATGCAAAAGCTCACCAAGTACCCAATGGCCCACCCGTCCTTCAGGCGTTTTATGAAGTGCCGCTCGACAGCTGAAAATTCATGCCCCAGCAGTAGTCGCAACTGCTCAATGCTAGAAACACCCTTCGACGCGCACGCACACACACACACACACACACACCAGCAAACAACAAACAAGCAAAGCAAGCAAGTAAGCAAGCACACGTTTCGCACATCCCCAAGTGCTGCAACCCATGCAGATCGTCATCCTTAACCAAAGTCCTGGACAACAAGGCCCGCCCATGAAGCTGTGGCTTCCAGAGCCGACATTCGAGTCAAGGAAGGGAAAGGTTTGGGGCATGGTTTGGTGACGATTTGGTGGTTTGAGAGGCTTGAGAAAAGGCTACTTGGTCAGACACCGTGTGCAGCTCTTCAGCTTAATGCTCGTTTTTATTTGCATCCATTTCTTACACTGTTGTTTTGCGCTTATGGTTGAGATCCACCGCTCTTGAAACCTTTTGAGTGATCCCAAGTTATCTTGGTGCATTTCGCCGGCCTGCAGTCTGCCGCGGTGCCCCTGCAATTCAAATATCTCAAAGAACACACTTCTTAAAGACATGACCCGGTCTGGGAAACCACACATATACCTGCCCTCACCCGTACTCGCAGGAGTCAGATGCAGCCTCCGCCGCCGCCGCCTCCACAGGGCTCATCTCAGGCCGATGGCCCGGGTCTCCCTTGCCATGCCTTGCTATGCCATCGGGGGCTCGTGTGAACACATGTCCACGACCAGGTCGCGTGAAGACGAATCACGAGTTCAATGCCCGCTCGTTCCTCGTTCTTTCGGTTCAAGCCAGGGCTGCTCCTCATCGTAGGCAGAACATGACAGCAAGCGCCACACCTGCGCGGACCTACTTACTCAAGCTCGTCCAGCGTGCAGCACCTGTCGCAGTGCGATGCAGTCGAGGATAGCATGAACAGCTCTGGTGGGTTCCGGTCAAAGTGCCTCACATTCAGAAGGTCGTTAGATTGTAATTGCAGCTTCGGTGACACCGAATTTCAGAGACTTTCCGGCTGAAGCCATGGTCACCTCAGGCAGAGATGGTGCTTTTGCAGGACCCCCTTGAAAGCTGCTGGAAGAGCTGGCAAATGCATTGTGGCCACAGATGTCCCAAATGTTTGCATGAACAATAGCATGTTGCAGCAGAGCACCGGGCACGCACGAAATAATGACACAGCACACTGTCACGAATGAGCTCTACTGGCTCGACATTCTTTCAGTCCTCCCAAAGCTCATCCCTAACTGAGGGTGCACACTGTTCTCATTTGTTATCACTAGCCTGCCTGTTCAACACTGGTTGCTGCCCCCTCGTAGTGTTCTCACTCGCGCCGGCTCCTTGTGATAGGTGTATACTGCTGTTCGTATATCCTGCTTCAACTTCAAACCTGAAGTCTTTAGAGCTTGGCAGCTGCCAGGAGCGTGGCAAGACGACGAGGGGACCGTGGTTGTGGCGACCCGCTGCACTTGTCATGCTATGCAGCTGTCCCCGTGAGACTTGTTGAAGCGCATGTTTAAGGGGGTGAGGTTTGAGGTACTCCTTCATGAATCATGATAGTTCATTGCTTTCAGACACTGCAGAGGCACTGGATCTTGCGAATCCGTAGGGCTCTTCTAAGGTGAAAGATTCGCGCATGTACGGTCCAGATGGTGGCCAGCTCGACTTGAAAATCACCGGTCAGTCCACATGCTTCTCAGCCCAGACTTGCGGTCGACGGTGTGCTGCGAGCGCCCAAGGGAGATTGCAGATTCCGTCTGGCACTGGTACTATGAGGGGTTTTGAGTGTATATGAATCCACAGAATGCTCGCCCAAAGAAAGAAGTTTAGAAATGAAGGGGAGTCTGCGCTGAGGGTTGCACGGCCGTTGCGCTCGCCAGCAGGGGTGATGGCTTTTTGCCCGTCCTCGCTTTACGACTTTGCGTGGTTTAGTTCCGGTAGTCTTCGCACTGCTAGCACCAGGCGAGCCCGATGCCCAAACTCATGCGGAGCACCTCAACCTAGGCTCCTTCCAGATGGGCAGCGAAGTCTACGAAGGGACCCTGAACAAGGAGGGGAAGCTGGTGTGGAACGATGGCGCAGTTTGGATCCGTGTGAACGGAGCCGATGACAGCACCCAGACAGGAATCAGCCTCAAAAGCAACAAAGGTTGCATCACAGACCCATACCCAGATCCGGCACCCTATACTCTCCGTAGGCATACTACTATAGCCCTATAGCACCTTCCCAGTGAAGATGCTGGAGTGCCTGAGGTGAGCCGAAGGAGGAGCCCACGCAGGAGTCAAGCATCGAGAAGGTTGGGGGATCCCTTGAAAAGACCGTGGGGAGCATCGAACATGAGTGCGCAGTGTGAGAAGTTTGAACAGGGCCATAAGCCGGGGTTGGGGGCAAGGGGAAGGAGGGGGGGTTGGGGGGAGGGGGGGGGAAGGGGGGGGCAGGGGGAAGGGGGGGGCAGGGGGTTGAGAAGTGGTACAGCTTTCGGGAGTTGTTGTTTTTTAGCGGCTGTTTATTGGGCTGTGTTTTGACATTTCGTTGGAGCTCGCCGGTGCCTCCTCGTGAAAATGGGTTTAGGGATTAGGGCACAACACACAAGCCCAGCTGCAAAAGAGTACAACAAACATCATACCTTTTGAACCTGGAAGCTGCTTCATGCCAGGACTAGAAACATCATACCTGAACCCTAAACCCTGTGAAGAAGTCTCATTCAGACCCTGAGCTGTGATCAAGTGCTTTAGATCCAGTTGGTTGCTTTAGGTTTCCCCTTTAGGTTGCAGAGAACAAGTTTTTGTGTTTGGCTGTAAGGCTGTTTAGGTTTGTGCATGGCCTTGGGCAGGCGTCACTGCAGGGTAAGAACGTAGGGATTGGGCCGTTTCGTCTGTAGAGTTCACCCAAAGTCCCAAGCCCCGGTGCTTTATTAGGGCTGGGGGCTCATCTCAGACATGGAGATGGTGAGGCTGCATGAGAGCACCTTGGACGACAGTCTCCAAATACAGGCATACTGTGACACACCATGCTGTGATGTCTGCCTCACAGGCGCGGAAAGCGTTTGCAGAGGAGAAAGCGCGGAAGGCGGGCAGCTTACGCTGAAGCAACGACGTTGTGATGGCGGACTCCGCCAAGTGGGGGGGGGGGGATGCGGGAGGGTTGCCCTCGCATCCTGGCCCACCCATCATCCTGTACGGCTCGGCAAAGCAGGCCGCGGCGCTGGACAAGGCGCGTGCAGCACGAGCAGCAGCTCAGAACCAGGCAGGGCTCATTTGCCGGCATAACTTATTTGAAGTCCATGGTGGTTTAGGGTTCATAAGGTTTAGGGTTGATAAGGTATAGGGACCGACACAAGCTGCAGGCTTGCATCCTTTGTTAACCTTGGGCTCATTTGGCACAGCGTTGGTTCCTTGATGGAGGATGGCGCCAACAACGAGGGTGGCCTGGACCGGGCCAAGCAGGTGCCAAACTTTCGTGTGGAGGAAAAAGCGGAGCACGTAGGGAAATACAGGGAACAAATCCGACCTTGAGCGAAAAGTCTGTTCTGTTCGTGAAGGCTTTCGAAGAGGAGAAGGCCAGGAAGGCAGCAGCTCTGGAACGCGCCCGGAGGCAGGATTCCCCCTTCATTCTCAGTCTGGCGATCCGTCTCTAGTGCCACGGACTTCTTGGCAAGGCTTGTGTCCCTCTATAACCGGGGTGTGCTACTGCACAACGTGGGAGTGCGCAGGGGTTCTGCGGAGAACAGCCACCCGAACCGTGGGGCGGACCCGCCACAGGACCTGTGGATATTGGGAGGTCATTCCATTATACTTATGCATGCACTTCCCCAGATCACCTTTCTCAGCACTCGCAAGGACATGGGAGCCAAGAACGACTCGGGTGTGGACCGCGCTAGACAGGCCTGGTTGGGGTATAATTTTGTTAGTATTAGGACATGCTTTCATGTCAATTTGCTCGCGCAGGCCTTTGAGGAGGAAAAGGCTCGTAAGGCAGCAGCGCTGGAGCGAGCGCGGAGGCCGGAACACGCCAGTCCCAGCAAGTGGCGAGCGAGAGATACTTCAAGCAAGCTCTAGAGGACTGTTTTCGTCGTGTATTCGCCAGCACTTTGCAAACACCGGGCGAGTCACAAAAGTCAAAAAGACTTGAAGAATGCACAATGCACTTTCCAGTAAGCAGGTTTAAGCGCAGTACGTCCTACTCAAATTGGGGACGGTGGCTGAGGAAGAAACCGGTGCAACAATCTTGTCAGTTTTGCCCGATTTGCTGTGCTTGATCCTCAGGATTCTTCTGGCCCCTAAGCCCGAAACCCGAAACCCTAAACCCTAAACCCTACACCCGAAACCCTATAAACCCTGAGTGTGTGCAGGGCACGAGCCGAAGCTCAGAACGGCAACGGCCCTTCCGAGGACTTGGCCTGTAAGCCCAGCATTGTACAAGATTGCAACGGGTGCATTTGCCAGACAGCTGGCAGGCAATGTATCTATATATATATATATTTTTTTTTTGTAATAATTCAGATCATGATATCATAAGTTATGAGTATAGGAATATAGAATGCTATTTTAGTACAATACCATAAGAACATAATAGCAAGTGTTCTTTCCCATCCCACGGCTCTGCTCTCTAGGGTCGGAATGATTGCTACTCTTAGTTACTAGTCTTCGCTTATGGTACCCTAAATAGTAATGGAAAATCTCTCCCAAAACCCCATTCGAATTGTTAAGGCCCCCATATTGCACGTCCTGTTCGTGTAGGGCAGGACGCAGATCAGCAGGTTCGGGTCAGTGGCTGGAGCTTTCGCTTCAAGTCGCTGTGGCGCTACCTTTGAGACGTATCACCAGCTTGTGCAGGAAATGTCCGTTTCGAGAACCCTCCGGATGTCGAACTCCAGCCGCTCGCATGTTAGCATTTTGAACCTCATACTTCGTGCGAGGAGGCTTCGCCAAAGAACGACACTGGCATCGACCGAGCAAGACAGGCCTCCTCGCACAGCTCAGGGCAGCAGCGTCGTGGACTTGACGGCAAACTCCGCGCGTGCAATTGCATATGCAAATGCCACAGAATGATGTGGCACATGACATTTCAGCAATCGTAGAATGCTATCGTTACGCGTAAGACTGAAGACCATGAACCCAGCAACGTAGGGGGGCGTCAGGCCTTCGAAGAGGAGAAAGCCAGAAAAGCGGCCGCGCTGGAAAGGGCTCGCAGGCACAGGAGTTGCAGCGCATGGAGACGCGGGAATAACGTTTTGATGGCTACTTGTAGGCATGAGTTAGGCCACTTTCCTGGAATTTCGGCCACCGTACCTGCAGTTTGTCATGTTGTAATGTGGTACGCACACGATCGCGGGCACAGGGCAACAGCCGAGAAGAAAGAGGAGGCAGGCTGTGCTGTCAGCAAGGGAAGAGGTACTGGCATGGTGCTGTACATCTTTTGCCTGTAGCTGGTTCCAGCACGGAAGGACGGCGGCTCGAACCATGATGTTGGCATCGACCGGGCGAGAAAGGCAACCCGGCTGCAAGCAGACACTGGAAGATTCGATCAATGCATGCACCGTGCCAGGTGTCATATGCATTGGCGTTTTGGTAGCAAAGTGCAGGAGAACCGTCGTCGTTCTGAATCGACTGTGTTGTACTTTCGAAGTACCGGGACCTACGCCGCATGCGTTGCAGTGCTGTTGGGGGGAAGGTTCAAATCAAAGGGCAAGAGACATTCAGCATGTTTGGCTTATAGGCTATAGGCCATGTCCGACACAGATCGACTTTGAGTTGGTGCACAAGCTTATGCCGCCACATCCGCCGAGGCTTTTGAGGAGGAGAAAGCACGCAAGGCGGCGGCGCTGGAGCGTGCTCGAAGGCTGGTGGTGCCCTGTGAACCTGTGGGCGTTTAGTGTTGAAAGATGTCTAAAGTTTTCTGCGGAACTGTGCTGCGCATCTGTGTTCTTAAAAGAAGTGCATGGAAAACCACCCATCCTTGCTTTCCACCAGGGCCCAGGCGGAGAAGCAGGAAGCGCCGCAGGACCGGCAAAAAGGGTCCAAGAATTATTTCGCTAGCCTCTTCATACCACAAGCACTGGCACTTGCATCGCTGCAAGTGTCCCATCAGCATCTGCACACTCTTAGAATTTTGGACCCCAACCATACAACCTCACACGAGGAGGCTTCGCCAAAGAACGACACTGGCATCGACCGAGCAAGACAGGCCTCCCCGCACAGCTCAGGGCAGCAGCGTCGTGGACTTGACGGCAAACTTCGCGCGTGCAATTGCACATGCAGATGCCACAGAATGATGTGGCACATGACATTTCAGCAATCGTAGAATGCTATCGTTACGCGTAAGACTGAAGACCATGAACCCAGCAACGTAGGGGGGCGTCAGGCCTTCGAAGAGGAGAAAGCCAGAAAAGCGGCCGCGCTGGAAAGGGCTCGCAGGCACAGGAGTTGCAGCGCATGGAGAAGTAGGAAAGTCGCTCTGAAACTTAGCATGATCCAGTTTCCTAGAGTTTCGGCCACCGTACCTGCAGTTTGTTATGTTGTAATGTGGTACGCACACGATCGCGGGCACAGGGCAACAGCCGAGAAGCAAGAGGAGGCAGGCTGTGCTGTAGTACTGGCATGTTGCTGTACATCTTGCCTGTAGCTGGTTCCAGCATGGAAGGACGGCGGCTCGAATCATGATGTTGGCATCGACCGGGCGAGAAAGGCAACCCGGCTGCAAGCAAGACACTGGAAGATTCGATCAATGCATGCGCCGTGCGGACGAACTTCAAAAGAACGGACAGAGTTCACCGCCGCAAAGACTCACTCGCACCTGTGTGGCTAAATCGGTGCTGACTCAATGCGAAAGAAGGCTGCTTCCGTCAAGACCTCATGTATTTTGAACTTGGTCGGAAAGCCTCTGCTACTTGTAGGTTTAGCATGAGCAGAACCATGGCGGACCTTTAGCATCACTTTATGACGACACACTTCCCACAATGAGGTCACTGGTATGTTGCTGGTATGTGCCAAGCCGTATATTTTCGGCCCAGGCCTTTGAGGAGGAGAAGGCGCGCAAGGCGGCAGCCCTGGAGCGGGCACGAAGGCTGGAGCCACAGAATTATGGGGACTTTGGGGGTTCAGGGTTTGGGGTTTAGGGTTTAGGGTTTAGGGTTTCCGGGCCTTTCCTGGCAGGATCCCCCCCCCCCTTCCTTGTTGATCTTGCTTGCAGGGCCCAGGCGGAGAAGCAGGAAGCGCAGGAACCGCCGCAGGACCGGCAGAAAGGTCCCCCCCTATCACCCTCGGAACACGTTGAGTGTTGACTACTGAGGACTATACCCAAAAGAATGCCGGCCCAAAATCCCCCAAAAGAATGCCGGAGCGACGCCGAGACTTTTTTTTTTTTGGAGGATGCAAACCGCGACAGCGGCTTGGACCGTGCGAAGCAGGCACCGAAGCGATCAACAGGGAACTAGAGAGAACGCAGGGGGCAGTTCAAATCCAGCATGTCTATGATTTAGCATATGTGTATATGAGTGTTCGATATCATTCGATCGATGTATAACGGATGCATAGAAGAATATACTTTGTATTGGCATGGCTTGAGTCCGGGCGCCTGGGACAGTAGCCTCAAAGCACTCAACGTACTTCAATACTTGAAGAACCCCAAAAGGTTCAAAAGGCCGCACCCTGAAACACCTTGGACCCCTGATCCCTGTTCAAAGGCCTTTGAGGAGGAGAAGGCCAGGAAGGCAGCAGCTTTGGAAAAAGCCCGCAGGCAGGGAGCTGGAAACATCTGAAGCATATTCTGGGACACCTGGTGAATCCTCAATCAGACTTGGCTATGATGCTCTGATGCCAGCTTCTGTCAGCCTACCTTACCTGTAGCAAGTGAGGGCATCCATGGCCCCCAGGCCTCTTAAGCTTGAATGCTTAGCAGCTTCATGCCAAGCAAAGGCGGAGCTGCGTTGGCTCCACATCCCAAGGTTTTCCGAATTTCCAGAAGGGCCATTCCGTGCCAGGATGTCCGCCGAAAGCAGCCAGCCCAACCGTGGTGCGGAGCAGGACCGTCTTGGCTCTGGATTGGACCCTGAATGCATTCTTTGCTCAAGGGCCCACGTAGGACAGGCCCGCACACCTTAAAACAGCAACAGCCAGTCACCACGAATCGATGTCTTCGGATCAGCACTTGCCAGGAAGTGGGGAGTTTGGATCGCGCGAAGCAGGCTCCGGCTGAAGTAGTGAAAGGGGAGGAACTTGGGCCTCCAACCGGCTTGGATGCTGTGCGTGGGCAGGCCTTCGAAGAGGAGAAGGCCCGTAAGGCGGCAGCGCTGGAGAGGGCGCGCAGGCTGGATTTAGGGGGCTCTGCTGTTGCTCGTGCAAGGCGGGCCCTGTGTGCAGCCTGTATGGCTCAGCCATGCTCAGCCAGTAGGCATGCTTGCTGCCATCTTGTAGTTTCAACCTGGGAGCAGGCACAGACCTGTTGTCCTCGTGTGGTTCGTCTCTCTCTTTACTTGGGCCTTAATGCCTCCAGGAGGCTGTCAGTTTTCACTCCTTGACCAGTGTCGTGTAGCTATGTGTAACTTCTCGTTTTTGCTCGCTTAAACAAAGAGGAACGGACATTGCTTATCGAGTGCCTTAAAGTGCTCACGACGAGCCTTGTAGATGCACCTACTATAGTAACCTCTTTTGAAATTCCTGTAGTAGAAAAGTGGGGCTTGATAACAATGAGGGGTATTTCTGCCAGGGCACGGGCTGCCGCTCAGAATGGCCATGATCCCGAGGACTGCCATGCCTTCTTCAGGTGCACTACATGTTGTACCGTTCCACGATCACTTGTCCCATATGCAACTCTGGACACTTCTACTTGCAGAGGGTAGTTCAGGGTCCTATGGTTCTTGTGAGGATGCTGCGCCCAAGACCGACACCGGCATTGACCGCGCCAGACAGGCCACAGGGCATCAAGGGTCAGGAGCAGCCCATCCTTTTCTTGCGGGTCACTACATGGTCTTTCATCCGAGGTTGCAGTTGCTTACTTCGCAGATGTGTGTACATACACCTGAGCACATTCAATCCTGCAAGAATGTTTGGGCCTTCTCCTTTGAAAGCATCCACTCAAAACACCATTCAGAGCCCGAAGAGTCCGGCATTTGTCGAAATGTCAGGCCTTCGAAGAGGAGAAAGCCAGAAAGGCAGCTGCACTAGAGAGGGCCCGCAGGCCCGGTCCCCCAGTGGCAGACGTGGGAATACCAGAATCATAAACTCACGCGAGCGGCATCATTTCTCTGGGCCCTGAACCCTCAACCCTAAACCCTATTTTCGTTGCTTTTGCCGGTGCTTTGCACGGGGTGTGGAGCGCAGGGCATCCGCCGAGAAGCGCGAAGAGGCGGACATGAGACTAGCGGGACTAGCGCGGGCATTCAGAGAACCCGGCTAACTCCGACAATTATTGATGTAAAGATATTATACGCACATCCTGTAACTCTAGAGGCTTCTGAAGTATGTGGTTGCCTTTGCTTAGGGGGTCTTCGGAAGCCTGCTGCGTGAGTCTAGCGTTGGAGGCTGGCGCCTCCAATCAAGATGCCGGGATCGACCGGGCGAGGAAGGCAGGTGAAATCAGATGCATCGCTGCATCTTCCAAACAAGGAAACTTGGCACACGCGGGTAGCGACGCGTGGCCAGAAGAAGCACATGCTAGTATGTGTCCCTTTACTAGAATCCCCTGTAAAGTTTGGGCTGGGGGTTGGTTCCGATCTTTGCTGTGTGAAGCCTTCGGACTCCAGCTTGTTGTTTCCACGGGCATCACAGGCACGTTGACCCCTAAGAAGTAGCCTGCTTATAGGGTGCCTCGAGTGCAGACTTACGTTGTCAAATCTGCGGAGGCGTTCGAGGAGGAGAAGGCACGCAAGGCAGCAGCCCTGGAGCGGGCACGAAGGCCACCCATGACCTACCTTTGTAGTTGACCCGAAACACCCTGGGTTCTTGCTAAGGAACTGATATGAAACAGGATACTATGTCATTTTACACAAAACCTCTGAAGGAGCTTAAGTTATGTTAGTTAGGCTACTACAACAAACCAGGGTACTGACCTTACTGTTCAAACCCCTGGTCACTGAACCTGGGAGCTAGTGGACCCCTAAGGACCCCAATAAGGTACCCCCTAATTCGGAAACCCCCACATGTTCATGGGTTCCCTTACGAACCCCCTGTACACTACCCCCCCTAGGTTCCCCCCTTAAATAACCTTAATTGGGCTTAAGTCTCGGGGGGTGGAGAGGGGGGTAGTAGGGGGAACCCCTAAACCCTAACACCCTAACACCCCAAAATCCCAAACCCATGAAATCTTAGCCTCCTTAAACAGCAACCCCAGAAGCTGGTCAGGGCGCAGCAGGAGGCACCAGCAGCTCAGGACTGGCACCGGCAAAAGGGGGCCAGAAATCACTAGGGTTTATGGTTTGGAGTTTAGGGCTTAGGGTTGAGGGTTTAGGGTTTGCCATCCGGCAAAAGGGTTTAAGTTTAAGGTTTTGGGCTAGGGTTAAGGGTATTTCAGAGGAAGTGACATGCAAGTAGGTTTGGGGTCTTAGGGTTCAGGGTGCCACATGTCACGTGCCCACGCGCCCACCCAAGCACAAGGGAGGGAAGGGAGGACACGGTGAGAACCGCATTGTCTGTAGCCTTTTCTTACTTCATGGTAGGTTCTCAGGGATAGGAGAACATAGTGATACAAACCTCAATTGGCACTGGAACCTCAACGGCCAGGAGACCGTCTGCCATGAAGTACATACCGACAAGATACATAAGTTGCCGATTCACGAGGCATCATTTCGGCATTGCTGTAGCAACATCGATGCAGAGGTGAGGCCCAACCTGGCAAGATCCAACATAACGGCAATCCTTTCCACTGCCACATCGTCCCAGAATGCCATGAATGCACCCGACCTCACCATTCAGGAGAGTAGCTCGCGGAACGACTCGGGACTTGATCGAGCACGGCAGGCCAGTGTGCTTGAGACTTGCAGGACCACTTCGCAAACACCGCATGGCATGATGTGCTCACAGGTAATATGCAGCAAGAGGTGAAATATGTGTTCTTGGTTAAGGATCACACAGTCCCTGTCACCATGCGGTTCAGTCCGTCAAGCTTCAAGAAAGTTCCACTCTGACTCCGCTCACCCTCTCCCTCTTTGGCGAAATGGCCCTTTCCCGGATGACGCGCTCCATGTGTGATGCGATGAGGCCGATTGGGTCTCTCTCCGGCCGCCAGTTTGCCACGGTGAATGGGAAGCCACTGCACGGCCAGCGGAAGCCCGCGATGCGAATGACAACCGAAGAAGCTTTTGTGAAGACCTTGCAGATGCACGGGATCAAGAACGCATTCGGCATCATCGGTTCAGCAATGATGCCCATCTCGGACCTGTTCCCTGCTGCAGGCATTAAGTTTTGGGATTGTGCTCATGAGTGCAATGCGGGCATGATGGCGGACGGATACACGAGGACGACCGGGAAGATGTCCATGATGATCGCGCAGAACGGCCCGGGCATCACCAACTTTGTGACACCCGTGAAGACAGCTTACTGGAACCACACGCCGCTTCTGCTTGTCACCCCACAGGCAGCCAACAAGACGATCGGCCAAGGGGGCTTCCAGGAGGTGGAGCAGCTGGCGATGTTCAAAGACACTGTTTGCTACCAGGAGGAGGTCCGCGACCCGACACGCATCTGCGAGGTCCTCAATCGCGTCATCGAGAAGGCCTACCACTGCTCGGCCCCAGCGCAGATCAACATCCCCAGAGACTTCTGGACCCAGGTGGTGGACATGTCCTTGCCAACTGGGGTGAAGCTCGAGCGCGGTGCCGGGGGTGCTGCCTCGACAAAGGCAGCGGCAGAGATGCTGGCAGAGGCCAAGTTCCCTGTGATCCTGAACGGCGCTGGAGTTATCCTGTCCGGAGCTGTGGATGCATCGGTGAAGCTTGCGGAGCGTCTTTCTGCACCCGTGTGCTGCAACTATCAGCACAACGACGCCTTCCCCGGCGACCATCCTCTGCACATGGGACCACTGGGCTACAACGGCTCGAAAGCTGCCATGGAAGCCATCTCCAAGGCGGACGTGGTCCTGGCGCTGGGCACGAGGCTGAATCCCTTCTCCACCCTGCCGTGCTATGGCATGGAGTACTGGCCGAAGGATGCCAAGCTGATTCAGGTGGACATCAACAGCGATCGCATTGGCCTGACCAAGCCGGTCGATGTCGGCATCCAGGGCGACGCAGGCTTAGTTGCCGAGGCTCTTCTGGCTGCGCTGCCGCCTTCCGCTGGTGATGCAGGGCGCACGGAGCGGCTCAAGCTCGTGGAGGAGAAGAAACAAGCCTGGGGCAAGGAGCTTGAAGGCATGGACCACGAGTTGGATGACGAGGGCACGACGTGGAACAAGCGCGCACGGGAAGCGCAGCCCAACCGTCTCTCACCACGGCAGGCGTGGCGCGCAATCATGCGGGTGATGCCCAAGGATGCCATCATGTCGTCGGACATCGGCAACAACTGCGCCATCGGCAATGCCTATCCATCCTTCCCCTCACCGCGGAAGTACCTGGCGCCGGGTCTCTTCGGGCCTTGCGGATACGGCTTTCCCTCCATCCTCGGCGCGAAGGTGGGGAACCCCTCTGTCCCAGTGGTTGGCTTTGCGGGCGACGGTGCCTTTGGCATCTCCGTCAACGAGCTGACTGCCTGTGGGCGGGGTGACTGGCCAGGCGTGACCATGATCGTGTTCCGCAACTACCAGTGGGGCGCGGAGAAGCGAAACACAACGCTGTGGTACGAAGACAACTTCGTGGGCACCGAACTCAACGCAGGCGTCGAGTATGCGCAGATGGCAAAAGCCTGTGGATTGAAGGGCATCAAAGCAGAGAGCGTCGAAGAGCTGGAGAAGGCCGTGACCTCTGCCATCGAGGGGCAGATGCAGCGAAATGAGACGACCCTGATCGAAGTCGTCCTGAACCAGGAGCTTGGCGAGCCCTTCCGCCGTGATGCGATGAAGCCACCTGTAGAGATTGCCAAGATCCATGCTAGTGACATGTGCGAGTGAGAGTGAGCTGCTGTGTGGATACCTCCATGGGGCTCGCATGGTCTCGCTATTTTCGGCCGAGGGGCCGTGAGTAGCAGAATTAGGGTGTCCGAGGGCCTCAGGGTCTGTCGGGCCTCATGAGATCCGGACTCTCAAGATATTCTGAGATTCCTTGATGCCTCGGAACAAATTTTGAGCTTTATAGAGCTTTTGCCTGCAACTGGGCTTGAAAGATCGTGCCAGCACCGGCAAACTGCCACGACTGCCACGATGAAAGCCTGCAGGGCTTGGGACATGTTCCCAATGAGTCCATGGTCGCAAAGACGACGTGCCATGGCCTCGCTTCCATCCAGCGCACACGGGCAGACGTGACAAAAGAAACCACAAGCCCAGCCTTCTCACCAGATCGTAGTCATAGCAGATGACGCCTGAGGGAAGGTTGCTGCACTGTAGATGGCTGTAGAGCTGCAAAGCTTCGGGATCCCGAAGCCCGAAATCCTAAACCTGGAGCCGTTTAGGCACAGCTCAAGCTTCAGAAAGTTCCACTCTGACTCCGCTCACCCCCTCCCTCTTTGGCGAAATGGCCCTTTCCCGGATGACGCGCTCCATGTGTGATGCGATGAGGCCGATTGGGTCTCTCTCCGGCCGCCAGTTTGCCACCGTGAATGGGAAGCCACTGCACGGCCAGCGGAAGCCTGCGATGCGAATGACAACCGAAGAAGCTTTTGTGAAGACCTTGCAGATGCACGGGATCAAGAACGCATTCGGCATCATCGGCTCAGCAATGATGCCCATCTCGGACCTGTTCCCTGCTGCAGGCATCAAGTTTTGGGATTGTGCTCATGAGTGCAATGCGGGCATGATGGCGGACGGATACACGAGGACGACCGGGAAGATGTCCATGATGATCGCGCAGAACGGCCCGGGCATCACCAACTTTGTGACCCCCGTGAAGACAGCTTACTGGAACCACACGCCGCTTCTGCTCGTCACCCCACAGGCAGCCAACAAGACGATCGGCCAAGGGGGCTTCCAGGAGGTGGAGCAGCTGGCGATGTTCAAAGACACTGTTTGCTACCAGGAGGAGGTCCGCGACCCGACACGCATCTGCGAGGTCCTCAATCGCGTCATCGAGAAGGCCTACCACTGCTCGGCCCCAGCGCAGATCAACATCCCCAGAGACTTCTGGACCCAGGTGGTGGACATGTCCTTGCCAACCGGGGTGAAGCTCGAGCGCGGTGCCGGGGGTGCTGCCTCGACAAAGGCAGCGGCAGAGATGCTGGCAGAGGCCAAGTTCCCAGTGATCCTGAACGGCGCTGGAGTTATCCTGTCCGGAGCTGTGGATGCATCGGTGAAGCTTGCGGAGCGTCTTTCTGCACCCGTGTGCTGCAACTATCAGCACAACGACGCCTTCCCCGGCGACCATCCTCTGCACATGGGACCACTGGGCTACAACGGCTCGAAAGCTGCCATGGAAGCCATCTCCAAGGCGGACGTGGTCCTGGCGCTGGGCACGAGGCTGAATCCCTTCTCCACCCTGCCGTGCTACGGCATGGAGTACTGGCCAAAGGATGCCAAGCTGATTCAGGTGGACATCAACAGCGATCGCATTGGCCTGACCAAGCCGGTCGATGTCGGCATCCAGGGCGATGCAGGCTTGGTTGCCGAAGCTCTTCTGGCTGCGCTGCCGCCTTCCGCTGGTGATGCAGGGCGCACGGAGCGGCTCAAGCTCGTGGAGGAGAAGAAACAAGCCTGGGGCAAGGAGCTTGAAGGCATGGACCACGAGTTGGATGACGAGGGCACGACGTGGAACAAGCGCGCACGGGAAGCGCAGCCCAACCGTCTCTCACCACGGCAGGCGTGGCGCGCAATCATGCGGGTGATGCCCAAGGATGCCATCATGTCGTCGGACATCGGCAACAACTGCGCCATCGGCAATGCCTATCCATCCTTCCCCTCACCGCGGAAGTACCTGGCGCCGGGTCTCTTCGGGCCTTGCGGATACGGCTTTCCCTCCATCCTCGGCGCGAAGGTGGGGAACCCCTCTGTCCCAGTGGTTGGCTTTGCGGGCGACGGTGCCTTTGGCATCTCCGTCAACGAGCTGACTGCCTGTGGGCGGGGTGACTGGCCAGGCGTGACCATGATCGTGTTCCGCAACTACCAGTGGGGCGCAGAGAAGCGAAACACAACGCTGTGGTACCAAGACAACTTCGTGGGCACCGAACTCAACGCAGGCGTCGAGTATGCGCAGATGGCAGAAGCCTGTGGATTGAAGGGCATCAAAGCAGAGAGCGTCGAAGAGCTGGAGAAGGCCGTGACCTCTGCCATCGAGGGGCAGATGCAGCGAAATGAGACGACCCTGATCGAAGTCGTCCTGAACCAGGAGCTTGGCGAGCCCTTCCGCCGTGATGCGATGAAGCCACCTGTAGAGATTGCCAAGATCCATGCTAGTGACATGTGCGAGTGAGAGTGAGCTGCTGTGTGGATACCTCCATGGAGCTCGCATGCTCTCGCTATTTTCGGCCGAGGGGCCGTGGGTAGCAGAATTAGGGTGTCCGAGGGCCTCAGGGTCTGTCGGGCCTCATGAGATCCAGACTCTTAAGATATTCTGAGATTCCTTGATGCCTCGGAACGAATTTTGAGCTTTATAGAGCTTTTGCCTGCAGCCCGGCCAGATCGTGCCAGCACCGGCAAACTGCCACGACTGCCACGATGAAAGCCTGCAGGGCTTGGGACATGTTCCCAATGAGTCCATGGTCGCAAAGACGACGTGCCATGGCCTCGCTTCCATCCAGCGCACACGCGCGGACGTGACAAAAGAAACCACAAGCCCAGCCTTCTCACCAGATCGTAGTCATAGCAGATGACGCCTGAGGGAAGGTTGCTGCACTGTAGATGGCTGTAGAGCTGCAAAGCTTTAGGATCCCCAAGCCCGAAATCCTAAACCTGGAGCCGTTTAGGCACAGCTCAAGCTTCAGAAAGTTCCACTCTGACTCCGCTCACCCTCTCCCTCTTTGGCGAAATGGCCCTTTCCCGGATGACGCGCTCCATGTGTGATGCGATGAGGCCGATTGGGTCTCTCTCCGGCCGCCAGTTTGCCACGGTGAATGGGAAGCCACTGCACGGCCAGCGGAAGCCCGCGATGCGAATGACAACCGAAGAAGCTTTTGTGAAGACCTTGCAGATGCACGGGATCAAGAACGCATTCGGCATCATCGGCTCAGCAATGATGCCCATCTCGGACCTGTTCCCTGCTGCAGGCATCAAGTTTTGGGATTGTGCTCATGAGTGCAATGCGGGCATGATGGCGGACGGATACACGAGGACGACCGGGAAGATGTCCATGATGATCGCGCAGAACGGCCCGGGCATCACCAACTTTGTGACCCCCGTGAAGACAGCTTACTGGAACCACACGCCGCTTCTGCTCGTCACCCCACAGGCAGCCAACAAGACGATCGGCCAAGGGGGCTTCCAGGAGGTGGAGCAGCTGGCGATGTTCAAAGACACTGTTTGCTACCAGGAGGAGGTCCGCGACCCGACACGCATCTGCGAGGTCCTCAATCGCGTCATCGAGAAGGCCTACCACTGCTCGGCCCCAGCGCAGATCAACATCCCCAGAGACTTCTGGACCCAGGTGGTGGACATGTCCTTGCCAACTGGGGTGAAGCTCGAGCGCGGTGCCGGGGGTGCTGCCTCGACAAAGGCAGCGGCAGAGATGCTGGCAGAGGCCAAGTTCCCAGTGATCCTGAACGGCGCTGGAGTTATCCTGTCCGGAGCTGTGGATGCATCGGTGAAGCTTGCGGAGCGTCTTTCTGCACCCGTGTGCTGCAACTATCAGCACAACGACGCCTTCCCCGGCGACCATCCTCTGCACATGGGACCACTGGGCTACAACGGCTCGAAAGCTGCCATGGAAGCCATCTCCAAGGCGGACGTGGTCCTGGCGCTGGGCACGAGGCTGAATCCCTTCTCCACCCTGCCTTGCTACGGCATGGAGTACTGGCCAAAGGATGCCAAGCTGATTCAGGTGGACATCAACAGCGATCGCATTGGCCTGACCAAGCCGGTCGATGTCGGCATCCAGGGCGACGCAGGCTTGGTTGCCGAAGCTCTTCTGGCTGCGCTGCCGCCTTCCGCTGGTGATGCAGGGCGCACGGAGCGGCTCAAGCTCGTGGAGGAGAAGAAACAAGCCTGGGGCAAGGAGCTTGAAGGCATGGACCACGAGTTGGATGACGAGGGCACGACGTGGAACAAGCGCGCACGGGAAGCGCAGCCCAACCGTCTCTCACCACGGCAGGCGTGGCGCGCAATCATGCGGGTGATGCCCAAGGACGCCATCATGTCGTCGGACATCGGCAACAACTGCGCCATCGGCAATGCCTATCCATCCTTCCCCTCACCGCGGAAGTACCTGGCGCCGGGTCTCTTCGGGCCTTGCGGATACGGCTTTCCCTCCATCCTCGGCGCGAAGGTGGGGAACCCCTCTGTCCCAGTGGTTGGCTTTGCGGGCGACGGTGCTTTTGGCATCTCCGTCAACGAGCTGACTGCCTGTGGGCGGGGTGACTGGCCAGGCGTGACCATGGTCGTGTTCCGCAACTACCAGTGGGGCGCAGAGAAGCGAAACACAACGCTGTGGTACCAAGACAACTTCGTGGGCACCGAACTCAACGCAGGCGTCGAGTATGCGCAGATGGCAAAAGCCTGTGGATTGAAGGGCATCAAAGCAGAGAGCGTCGAAGAGCTGGAGAAGGCCGTGACCTCTGCCATCGAGGGGCAGATGCAGCGAAATGAGACGACCCTGATCGAAGTCGTCCTGAACCAGGAGCTTGGCGAGCCCTTCCGCCGTGATGCGATGAAGCCACCTGTAGAGATTGCCAAGATCCATGCTAGTGACATGTGCGAGTGAGAGTGAGCTGCTGTGTGGATACCTCCATGGGGCTCGCATGCTCTCGCTATTTTCGGCCGAGGGGCCGTGGGTAGCAGAATTAGGGTGTCCGAGGGCCTCAGGGTCTGTCGGGCCTCATGAGATCCAGACTCTTAAGATATTCTGAGATTCCTTGATGCCTCGGAACGAATTTTGAGCTTTATAGAGCTTTTGCCTGCAGCCCGGCCAGATCGTGCCAGCACCGGCAAACTGCCACGACTGCCACGATGAAAGCCTGCAGGGCTTGGGACATGTTCCCAATGAGTCCATGGTCGCAAAGACGACGTGCCATGGCCTCGCTTCCATCCAGCGCACACGCGCGGACGTGACAAAAGAAACCACAAGCCCAGCCTTCTCACCAGATCGTAGTCATAGCAGATGACGCCTGAGGGAAGGTTGCTGCACTGTAGATGGCTGTAGAGCTGCAAAGCTTTAGGATCCCCAAGCCCGAAATCCTAAACCTGGAGCCGTTTAGGCACAGCTCAAGCTTCAGAAAGTTCCACTCTGACTCCGCTCACCCTCTCCCTCTTTGGCGAAATGGCCCTTTCCCGGATGACGCGCTCCATGTGTGATGCGATGAGGCCGATTGGGTCTCTCTCCGGCCGCCAGTTTGCCACGGTGAATGGGAAGCCACTGCACGGCCAGCGGAAGCCCGCGATGCGAATGACAACCGAAGAAGCTTTTGTGAAGACCTTGCAGATGCACGGGATCAAGAACGCATTCGGCATCATCGGCTCAGCAATGATGCCCATCTCGGACCTGTTCCCTGCTGCAGGCATCAAGTTTTGGGATTGTGCTCATGAGTGCAATGCGGGCATGATGGCGGACGGATACACGAGGACGACCGGGAAGATGTCCATGATGATCGCGCAGAACGGCCCGGGCATCACCAACTTTGTGACCCCCGTGAAGACAGCTTACTGGAACCACACGCCGCTTCTGCTCGTCACCCCACAGGCAGCCAACAAGACGATCGGCCAAGGGGGCTTCCAGGAGGTGGAGCAGCTGGCGATGTTCAAAGACACTGTTTGCTACCAGGAGGAGGTCCGCGACCCGACACGCATCTGCGAGGTCCTCAATCGCGTCATCGAGAAGGCCTACCACTGCTCGGCCCCAGCGCAGATCAACATCCCCAGAGACTTCTGGACCCAGGTGGTGGACATGTCGTTGCCAACTGGGGTGAAGCTCGAGCGCGGTGCCGGGGGTGCTGCCTCGACAAAGGCAGCGGCAGAGATGCTGGCAGAGGCCAAGTTCCCAGTGATCCTGAACGGCGCTGGAGTTATCCTGTCCGGAGCTGTGGATGCATCGGTGAAGCTTGCGGAGCGTCTTTCTGCACCCGTGTGCTGCAACTATCAGCACAACGACGCCTTCCCCGGCGACCATCCTCTGCACATGGGACCACTGGGCTACAATGGCTCGAAAGCTGCCATGGAAGCCATCTCCAAGGCGGACGTGGTCCTGGCGCTGGGCACGAGGCTGAATCCCTTCTCCACCCTGCCGTGCTACGGCATGGAGTACTGGCCGAAGGATGCCAAGCTGATTCAGGTGGACATCAACAGCGATCGCATTGGCCTGACCAAGCCGGTCGATGTCGGCATCCAGGGCGACGCAGGCTTGGTTGCCGAAGCTCTTCTGGCTGCGCTGCCGCCTTCCGCTGGTGATGCAGGGCGCACGGAGCGGCTCAAGCTCGTGGAGGAGAAGAAACAAGCCTGGGGCAAGGAGCTTGAAGGCATGGACCACGAGTTGGATGACGAGGGCACGACGTGGAACAAGCGCGCACGGGAAGCGCAGCCCAACCGTCTCTCACCACGGCAGGCGTGGCGTGCAATCATGCGGGTGATGCCCAAGGATGCCATCATGTCGTCGGACATCGGCAACAACTGCGCCATCGGCAATGCCTATCCATCCTTCCCCTCACCGCGGAAGTACCTGGCGCCGGGTCTCTTCGGGCCTTGCGGATACGGCTTTCCCTCCATCCTCGGCGCGAAGGTGGGGAACCCCTCTGTCCCAGTGGTTGGCTTTGCGGGCGACGGTGCCTTTGGCATCTCCGTCAACGAGCTGACTGCCTGTGGGCGGGGTGACTGGCCAGGCGTAACCATGGTCGTGTTCCGCAACTACCAGTGGGGCGCAGAGAAGCGAAACACAACGCTGTGGTACCAAGACAACTTCGTGGGCACCGAACTCAACGCAGGCGTCGAGTATGCGCAGATGGCAAAAGCCTGTGGATTGAAGGGCATCAAAGCAGAGAGCGTCGAAGAGCTGGAGAAGGCCGTGACCTCTGCCATCGAGGGGCAGATGCAGCGAAATGAGACGACCCTGATCGAAGTCGTCCTGAACCAGGAGCTTGGCGAGCCCTTCCGCCGTGATGCGATGAAGCCACCTGTAGAGATTGCCAAGATCCATGCTAGTGACATGTGCGAGTGAGAGTGAGCTGTTGTGTGGATACCTCCACTGGGCTCGCATGCTCTCGCTATTTTCGGCCGAGGGGCCGTGATTAGCAGAATTAGGGTGTCCGAGGGCTTCAGGGTCTGTCGGGCCTCATGAGATCCAGACTCTTAAGATATTCTGAGATTCCTTGATGCCTCGGAACGAGTTTTGAGCTTTACAGAGCTTTTGCCTGCAGCCCGGCTCGAAAGATCGTGCCAGCACCGGCAAACTGCCACGACTGCCACGATGAAAGCCTGCAGGGCTTGGGACATGTTCCCAATGAGTCCATGGTCGCAAAGACGACGTGCCATGGCCTCGCTTCCAGCACACGCGCGGACGTGACAAAAGCAACAACAAGCCCAGCCTTCTCACTAGACCGTGGTATATGACCTTTTCTTCAGCTTCGTGCAGAGCATTATGCTTATGAGATCTTATGAGAGTTCCTGCGGTCGTACCGAATGCTCCCCGTCTATACCACTGTGAACCCCAAGGCCCTTCATATAATGAGGCTTGCATTATAGATCTGCCCTGGACCGATGCCTGCTTGGGAGCTGGGGCCTTGTGCATTTAAGACCCCGACTTTGCAGGACAAAACCCTTAGAAAGAAAACTAAGCCTACAACAGATAACACCTTTCACACCTAAATTTGAGGTAAAATTGCCCAGCTGCCTTGGAGAGGCCTTTGAGGAGGAGAAGGCTCGGAAGGCGGCTGCTCTGGACAGGGCCCGAAGGTGGGACCTGCGTGAATCAGTTAAGTTGAGGTCTTCTAGGATGTGGAGACTCTTTTCGCTTCTGGCTTTCATGGTGTAATAGGGTTTATGAACTTACTGGGGTACCTTAGGCAGGGCCTATGAGGGTTTGGGGGATGGTGGTGGCGACAAGGTAATTTCCAACTTTTGCGTTGTGTTCTAGTTCAAACGTAGAGGACTTTGGCAGATGCCATGGTCCGTGCTATCGTGGCACCAGGAGAGCTTTGGGATGGTGATTTGCTAGGCAGCCAACCCTTCCACATCAACCTGTCACATGTAGCAAGCCTTACTTCGTTGCATGAAAGTATACCCTAAACCTTAAACCTTAAACCCTAAACCTATGCGGGTGCCAAAAAAACACCCTAAAACAGAAACCCTAAGTAGCACGTGTTAAAGAAGCGGGCCATCTTTGAGTCCCACTCCCGATCCGCACGCTGCGACAGGGCCGCAGCCGAGAACGGCACTCCGGGCCACCGAGGATCCGATGCGTTCCAGGAGAGGGCGTTAGAAGTATAATGGATATGATGAATAATCGTGAAAGTAATGTGTACGTGTATATATATATATACACATACATATATGGGGGGGAGGGGGGGTAGCATATATAGATATATGTATTGCTTTAATGTGGGGGGCCCCCCCCCCCCCTGAACAGTCGGGGGGTGGATTGGGTCCTGAATAAAGGGCTCCGGGGGTTTATATGATTTTAATAGGGAGGAGTTTAGATAGATTTAAAAGGGATCCATATGAATCTAAAAGGGATGAGCTTATATATGACTCGTAATTAATTAGTAGTAGTTGGTTTGGTATTGAGGATTGATTGTTTCAACTTAGTTTAAAGCAAGCCCCAAATCCTTAAAAAAAATTGCCGGATTTCGGGTACGGTTTGACTTTAAAGCGGACCCCTCAAACAGTGAGGGGGTCCTGAATAATTCCGCCAAATTGACTTTAAAGCGACCCCCCCTAATAAAGCAGGTCCAACATTATCTATTTCCTTTATTAGCATTCTTCTTCTTCTTCTTATGATTAGTATTGTTATTCTGACTGTTACTATTATTATTATTGTTATTATTATCGTTATTATTATTACCATTACTGTTATTAGTTATTTTTATTGTTATTGGCATTGTTATCCCTCGTTGGTGAAACCTCCGGCCACTGGAAAGGAGGCGCGCTCGCGCGAAGGGGGCATGGACCGCGCCAAACAGGCCAGGGTTTTTAGGTTATCACAGTGCAGCCATTGTGCAGCTGGTTCTGGTGGTGCTTGTTGTGGCGGGGGTGCCGGAGAAAGCAAAGAACCAGACGAGAACAGCGCCACGTGTCAGCCCATGTGTGAGTTGAAGCCGTTTAACCTCTTGAAAGCATAAATCAACTGCACGCGCATGCCCACCCGCACGCACGCACGATCGAACGACTGCACGAACGCACCCAGCGCGAGCCCGAGCACGTGTGCACGAGTGCATGTGCGAACGTGCACGTGAAAGAGGGTTGGCTGCTAGAGACATGAAAAAGAATACATTTAGCCAGCTTGTTGTTTGCTCGCTCTTTTCCCTTAGGCTTTCGAGGAGGAGAAGGCACGCAAGGCGGCAGCTCTGGAGCGAGCCAGGAGGCTCGAACCTCTCTTGCCAACCCTAAGCCCTAAGCCCTAAGCCCTAAACCCTAGCAGTTTCCGCCTTGTCTTCGTTTACGAGCCTCAATACCTTGACGGGCGCAGGGCCTCCGCCGAGAGCCAGGGAGCCGTCCCGCAGGATCAGAGTGATGTGTTTAGGGTGTAGGGCTTAGGGTTTAGGGTTAAGGGTGGGAAATGCCGATAAGTGCAGAGTGTGCTCGAACTGATTTTAAAGCTCTTACAACTTACACGAGTGCTAGTACTACGACGATTATTGGTGCGAAATGCTATGACTGATGCTGATGCTGATAAATTTAATGCTCATTTAAAAACTTTAAGCGCACGCAGTTTGGGTTTGCAGGGTTTGGGGGTTTGTTGCTCGAGCTCCTTAACTCTGCGATTGCGTGGGATGTGCGCGCGCTGCCGCGTAAAACGCTTCGTCCCGCAGCGTCGGGCGTTGCTATGAAGGGAGTCCTGCAGATTCCTGTGCGCACAGGCCAAGACTTGTGATTCTGGCGGAGGGCTTTTGCTGTTTGAGTCCAGGGAGGGGAGGGTTGCACACCGCACCGCATGTTGACGCATTTCCGCTGCCTTGGCCGCTGCTGAAACCTCAGAGCTCTGAGCTCGAAGGACACACGGTCACGAGGCGAGGCTGGGATGGATCGCGCCAAGCAGGCCCTGCAGGGTCCCGGAAGCAAAGGTGTTCAGTGTGCGCGGTCCGGTTTGGGAAGTTGAGAAGCAAGGACACCAGGGTTGAGTAGTTGAAGCAAATCCGGTCCAGCTTTTGGATGGTTTGGCCTCTCTCTCAGGTTGCACTCAGGCCTTTAGGGCGAGTCTGACAGGCCATGTGAAGGATTTTAAACTGAATGCCCTGCAGGCCTTCGAGCAGGAGAAGGCCAGGAAGGCTGCAGCACTCGAACGAGCTTCTCGGCTAAAGACCTAAGGGCCCTGAATCAGAAGCTCTCGCCGCCTGGGTTCAGATTTGCAGGTTTCGCGCGAGTCACGGTTTTGGCTTGGGCAAGTGCAGCAGTCCATAGTTGCTGCGCTCTCTGCCCCTAACTGGCAAGATCCTGAAGACTAAAGAGACAGGACACCTGACACCTCAAGTGCGAAATGAGGCCCGCGCACGAGCGCGCGCGGCCGGCCAGGGAGATCCCTCGGAAGGCTCCCTGCTGCAGGTTGTCAAACAATCTCGCTGCTGTCGAGCCCCCCCCATATCATCATCAGTGAGTTGCAATGGTCATGCCCTGGAATGTAGAATGCCGATAGCGCATGCCAAGCACAAACAAATTCCTAGGTAGGATAAGGGGGACCTTTAAAAGGGATTCTCAGCCCTCTTCTGGCTCCCTTAGACAGGGACCTTACTCAGAGGGTCCATATATATTTTCAAGGGCCCCCCTCATCCTATCCCCGACAAATCTCAGAGAGGCCTTGGGCTTGGTCCCAATGCTGGCCTGGGCCGCTTGGATGGGGATGCGCGCAATAATTGGCCAGGTAGAAGCAGTCGAAACAGGGGGCAGTTTTTTCTTTTCAAGCGCAACCCGCTATGCTGGCATTTCGCACAGAGGCCCCAAACACAGCTGCTAAGACATGTAACATGCGCTGCACATGTCCAAAACCCCTACCTTATGCAGGTCACAGGTGAAAACTGCACCTCCAGGCAGAAGCGAAACATGTTCCGGCATTTAAGCAGGGCTCCTGACATGCGAAGACCACTTCCCTCGACTCTCCATCGATAGTACTCTTACTTAAAGCATCGGCACTCTTGGCCCAGCTCTTTAAGCCTCTGACGTTTTCGGGTTTCGAGTTCAGCTCCAGAAATCAGGCAAGGGCCGTGGCCGGGGCCTGGGTGGGGGCTTCGGAAGCTGGCAGCACCTTGGCCTTAGAGTTTGCTCAGCGGTTCCTGTGGTTCGCCTGCCAGGGTAGGGTGCTTCTACATCTATAAGGAAAGGTTTGGCCTGGCCGAGGTTTTTGAAGAGCTCTGCCGAAAAGCCAACTCTAGATGACCTCTTGCGCGCATGTGAGACGGCCCCAGACCCGCTAACCATCACAACAACCCTAAACCCTACGTAGCCTAAACGCTAAACCCTTAACCCTAAAACCTAACCCAAAACAATGGGTGTCTTATGTTTCGATGTTTTTTGGTTTGGATGACGGATGAAGTAGTGGGGAAGAGAGTGTTTTTGTAGGTCCTCCAGTGGGGCCACCCTTTTTTCTCCGAACGGACCACCAAATCACCCTGCCTGCGGTTCGGCCAGCTATATGCGGGAGCGAAAAAACAACCCTAACCCCCAACACTAAATCCCCAAACCCTTAAAGCCGAATCTAATCCATGAGGCTTGGGCGCGGTGGCCTTGGAGCTCGTGGCCTCAGCGGCGGCGGCCGCGGCGGCTTTGGCCGGGGAATGTGCCCCGGGCTTCCGTTTTGAAAAGGCTTCTTTCTTCCCAGGATGACCTATGAGGCCCCAGAATCCCCACAATGAACCCTAAGGGTTTAGGGTTTAGGGTTTAGGGGCCTTTTCAAGGGGTTGTGGGGTATAACAGCCCGTCCTGGTCCTGGCAGGATCCAAGCTCTCACCCGAAACCCTACATCCTAAACCCTTGTCAACCCTTAAGCCCCAGGCAGGTGGCCAAAAAAACCCTGGAGCCCCACAAGCAGCTCTCGGTGCAATCCCTGAATGCCAGGTTCGGAGGCTGGGCCGGAGGCGCCCAAGCGCTGTCTCCAGGCGGCTTGTCCCTGAGATCCTCCCCCTGGTTCTTAGTAGGGAATGAGGGAATGAGGGCCCTAGATATGCCAGTTAAAGGATTCCCTCATTCCTACTAAGAACCATGCAGGTCTTACTGAGATCCCTGAGCCTCATATGAAACCCCGGACCCTTCATAAATTCAAACTCCGAAGTATGCGTTTGAGACCAAAAGCCGTGGGAAGTTGCTCCTCTTTGTTTTCTTGTTTTTTTTTTTTTTGGGGGGGGGGGGGACCTGTTGCTTATCTTTGTTTTTCTTGCTCCAGGCGTCCTTGTTCGCCTGTACGGACTCAAGGCAAAGCCTGAGCTGAACGGCATGCCCCTTGGCCCAGGTTTTGGAGGTTTTGGGGTGTAGGGTTTAGGGTTTAGTGTTTAGGGTTTAGTTTCGGAGTCAGATCTCAAGTTGATCTTACGATGGACAAGAAGTGTCCATTGCCTCTGATCCCCTTCATGCTTCGTTGCCGATGAAATCCTGAGTGGTCCAGGGAAGAGGAACTAGAGCCTATTGCAAACCCTAGTGTTTCGGGAGCACCGTTGTGGAGCGCACTTGGGATGGGTACTGGTTGTACTTGGTGAGGTTTGTAGAGGCGGCCCTGCCTGAGAACCTGTTCAGCACAGCACTGGTAAGTCAGTGCGTGATCAAAACTGTTGAAAGAGGAGGTGTTTGAAAGAGGAGGTTCCCCGAAGGTGGTGCTTCTGTGTCAGCTGAGGAGACTTGACCTATCGAAGCCTTGTGCGAATGTGAGAGTCGAAGCCCTAAGCTTGAAACCCTCAACCACATCTCTTGGGACTGAAGCCTTCTGCCTTCCCAGGATCGGCAACTGCATCTCCTTCGACAAGAGCAAGGGGAGATGGCAGGTTCGCCTGGAGGATAGACCTGGTGCAGAGTCCTGGCTGCATTGCACGCCCGTGGCAAGCAGCAGGTGCACGTTGACGAAAGCTACACCTTGGGGCAGGTTGTGGCGAATAACAGGCAGCGACCACGATTTGCCTAAAACTACATCGCAGCGTGGGATGCATTTGGGATTTGAGCACACGACCGCGACGACCGACCGCGATGACCCATGCATGCCGACCCCACGACCGGACGACCCTGAAAGTGAAGGGGCCGGGAGCGGCGAGCGGGGATTGGGGAAGGGTGGAGAGGAGGGGGGGAGCTTGGGAGTTGTGGGGAAGGGGGGTGTAGGGGGGGAGGGGGAGCCAAATTCTTGACGGCACGATGTTTTGTTTCTTGCTTACATGGCGGACATTAAGAACACTACGCGAAAGTGTGTTTTTCTATGTCTTCTCTTCTCTGTTTACGGTTTGCAACATCGCACAACAATGAAGTGAGACAGAGACTGGCCAATGAAAATGTAGTTCGTTCGAAAATGCATTGCCAGCACTTGTTGAAACTTCTTGCAGAAGTTGTGGAATCGAAGCCGAGCACCCCAGGCGTGCCCCTACCGCACCAAAACCCGCCCTCTGTCGCAGCATGGGGTCAGCCTGTGGCTCCTTCATCTGCTGCACGTCACCTTTCCGGGCAAAGTACAGGAAAGATGCCCTCTCTGCTGGCTCGCTCTTGTCCCTCGCACTTCCTCAGTACTCTGTAATTAGCCATGTGGGCATTTCCCAAAATAGGGGCACCTCCGTTTATACCTCAAAAGAAAATAGCATCCCCTCAAAGGGACCCCTACCCCTATTCTCGGACCCCCCTTTATGTGGTGAAGAGTCCTCTACTCCCCCCCCCCCTCCCCCCCCCCTCCCCCCCCCCTCCCCCCCCCCTCTTCCCCCCCCCTCCTCCTCCCCCTCCTCCCCCCCCCCCCTCCCCCGCCCCTCCCCTCCCCTTCCCCCTTCCCCCCCCAAAAAAAAGAAAGGGTACCCCTATTTTCTGAAACAGAATGTTGTCTAAAAACCCAAAGACCCTTGGAAACCCTACAAACCCTAAACAGCCTTTGGTACAAACCCTAAACAGCCTTTGGTGAAGAGTCCGAGGACATGCTTTTCAAGGAGGACAACTTGCAGCCCGTCAGTGTGGACGAGTACGAGGCGGCCCAGGCAGCTGCCGAGGGCATGGCCGCCCGGCAGTGCCTTTTAGGGCTTAGTGGTGAACTATTCGGTAACCCAAAAAATGTGTATGTATGTATGTATGTATGTATGTATGTATGTATGTATGTATGTATGTATGTATGTATGTATGTACATATATATATATATATATATACATCTATCTATATTGAAGAAGTCGCTCATTTGTTTATTCAAGGTTTCATTCAGGCTTTCGTAGGTGTGGCCCTCAGAGTTTAGGGAGGCTGAGTATGCGTTGAGTATGCACGGTGATGTTCTTTGGAGCCCAGGACTCGCGATTGGCTGACAAGCTCCGGTGTCCCGCAGAGCATGGAATGGTGGTCGAAGTGGCAGCCGAAGTTTACGTTCCTTGGGCCTGTTGCTCTACAGTAGTCAGTAAACTCCAGACAGTTGGAACATGGTTTAAGGATGGTTAAGGCTGGGATTCCCTCTAGTATACCTTCTGGGGTATGGGAATAAGGATGTTCCAACTTTTTGGGCTTTACTGTAACTGGTTCTCAGAGTCTCTAGAGTGTAGAGCAAGGGCTTGCTGATGCTCAGCCAAGGAGTGCGATGTGTGTGAGGCAGATATCGAAGTCAGCACAAAGCTTATGTATTGCGATCGATGTGACTACGCCATTTGCGAGGTCTGTGCCGTAGATATGCTTCGAAGAGAAGCGCTTAAATCTTGAGAGCCGAGAGGGCGAGCCAGTTTCTGTTGCCATAGCCAAGAAGACCCTGGAGCATGCCAACAAAACACATGCTGACATGCGCTTGCCCTGTTTTGCTTGCGGGCAGACTTGTCCATCCAACTGGAAGGGGACACCCATGAAATGAGTGTTCTCTCCGAGTTGCCGTGGACCGCTGCGTTTGCTGCATTTGCGGCGCGTGCGATGTGCCGAAGAGTTCTGGTCTCCGTCGGAAGGCCTTGATGGCTAATGCGGCCAAGAAAGTGTCGCAGTTTTGGCTTTAACTTGTGGGGGAAGCCCTTCCTTGCGACAGGCTGTAGCAGCCCTAGCAAGTAGGGTTCTCTTTCGCGTGCCCAGTGCCTGAGACGGTGCGAAGACTTTTAAAGACGCGCAGAAAAAAGGAAATACTTCTCAGGCACCTGTGTCGGAAGCGTCATACAGTTGCTGGTAATTAGTGGGGATTGGGCGCCTTCTAGCAAAGGAAAGGCCTTCACGGCATTCCCGAAACTATGTAAACCCTAAATAAGTACACCCCTTGAGGTAAAGAGGAGGATTGGCAGATTGCACCTCTCGGCACTTGCCCCACTCCATCCGGCGCCCCAGTCAGTGCGAACCCCAAAAGCTGATTTCTCAATGTATTTCTTGTCGTATATTCGTGAATAGTACCTTCAGACGGAGACTAACACTAATACAGTAGTAATTCAATATGTTGATTGCAAAATCAACATAAGTTGATGCACATTTAATATCATAGTCGGCCTAAGTATATTGATATAGATGAATACATCAGTAAATGAATATATTGAATGCATTGACTTTTCCGCTCTGGAAGACCAGGGGGGGGGGGGGACCGAAACCCTAAACCCTAAACCCTAGACCCTAGACCCTAAACCCTAAACCCTAAACCCTAAACCCTATAAACCCTAAACCCTAATTCCAAAACAAGCCTTCAGAGGCGCCTCCGCCCCCGCCGGCAGAGCGTCGGTCTAGCCGAAGCCCTCGGAAGAAGTCGGAGAAGAGCAGGCCGTGTTTGGGTTTAGGTTGGGATGTTCCGCCTTATGCTAACAGTCCTATTAGTAGGGATTCTAGTGCCCCCCATTCTAGTCCCTATTCAGGACTGTTAGTAGTAAGGGGGAACTCCGAAGGTTTAGGCTTCAGGTGTCCCCCCCCCCTTTTTCGCGTAGCCGAAGTCAAGGGCTGCTTGGCTGCTTGAGGCTCAGGGTGTTTCAAGGACAGTGGGGCCCCTCTTTTTAGAAGCATGTAGTGATGTTGCGGGAGTCAGTGGCAGGTTTCTGGTGAGGGAGGCAGGAAGTTGAAAGTTCCACTTGAAAAGCACGTCTTTTGCGATCACCAGGAGTAATAGCCGTCGCACGCGCCGAAATCGGCGCCGGGGCGGCTGGGATGCGGAGGAGCGTTCTCTCTTGGGCCAGAGTGTATGCTTCCAAGGGCCCATTCACGTAGACATCAACATACACAAACGAAGGATCCAGGTCCTTCAGCGGAGTCAGCGTTGGCACTCATGCCTGGCGCTCAAGTTCGTGCTTATGGTGCGCCGCTTAAACACACCTCGAGAGAGAGCACCAACCGTGAGGAGGTACACCCCTCCCCAAAGCCCTGCAAAACCCTGGAAGCCAACTCAACCGCCCAAGGCAATGAACCGAGAGTGAAAAGGGAAGTCTTGGCCCAGGCCCTCGCGGCCTGCACTGCCACCCGGCATGGCAGGTGGGGCAAGGGCCATCTCAAGCTCTTTAGTGTTTAGGGTTTAGGGGGTTACGGGGGTTTAGGGAAAAGGGTTTCTAGGTTGTTACCGGCAGGACATCCAAGGAGACCTGAATTAGGGTTTAGGGGCCGGCTTTTTGACTCAGCGGCTGCCGCAGGTCCTCCAAGGCCGTCTGGGCCAGCAGCGCGCTCGGAATGTTAAGGGTTGTGACGGAAGTTTATAAGGATGACGATAGAGACGACCGGTCCGATTCTGGAGAAATTCTGGACACAGGCAGTGAGAAGAAATGTTTGATAGACATGTGCAGCTCCTTCTTGCTTCCGCAGAGCACGTCTTGGCGCCAAAACCTGCTGATTCTTCCCTCTCCGACCCACTGCTGCCCAAGGCAAGGACTTGTAAAGCTCGAAGTAGCACCGAGTATCTTCTGAGGCCCCAGATCTTGGAGCTGCTAAAACCCCATGTTAGTCATGCTGAGTCACCGAAAACCCCAAACCCCAAAGCCTAAACCCTAAACTCCTAAACCCGGCGGGTGGCAAAAACCCTAAACCCTAAACGGCTTGCTTGGAGAAAGGGAGTCATTGCATTAAAAAAAAAACCTAAACCCTAAACCGAAACAAGGGCCAAAGAGCAGCGATGCCGAGGTCGCTGTCAACCGACGGGGCATCCCCGAGGCGACGCCGGAGGCCGGGGCTCGGCTCGGCGCGATCTCGATTTGAAATCGGGGGTTAGGGTTTTGGGTTTGGGGTTTAGGGTTTAGGGTTTAGGGATGTTTAGGGTTTAGGGTTTAGGGTTTAGGGTTTAGGGTTTAGGGGGGCTTGGGCGGTTTTTGTGGAACTACAGAACTGCTCAAAGATTGCTGAAGCGAGGGATACCCCAAAGTCTGTTTGCGCAGCTTGCAAGGCGCTGGCCGCCGCGGTCTTCCGAGCCCAACAGGTGGAGAAGGCCGGAGTGGAGGGTCGCTTGTTGCCGAGGACGCTGGGTTTGGGGGTCTTGAGCCTTGAACTGGAATGGCAGACATTTGTGGGGTCTTTGTAATTCTCTGGAGACCATCTATAGAAGCTCCTCTCTGGGAGGTGTGCTGCTATCGTTCAGTTAAACTCAGACGAGGGTGCAATCTACATGCCCGTCTCTCCTCCTCCAACTACAGTACCTGACAGTATCCCTAAACCCGAAACCCTAAACCCTAAACCTTAAAGCCTAAACCCTAAACCCTAAACCCTCGTGAGGCCGGTCTGGACGCCATGCGCGAAAGCGGAAAGATCCCGCGAGGACCTCCCGACCTTCCAACAGGCCGCAAGACCTTTCTGTTGCACGTTTGGCATTTGGGATGATCCCCCCTTATACTAGCAGTCCTTAAGAGGGATTATAGTACCTAAACCCTGAACCCTGAATCCTAAACCCTATACCCCCTATGGTACTCCCTTTTAAGGACTGTTCGTATAAGGGTTCTAAGCAAAAAACATCCCAAGTTTGGTGCTTGCATCGCCTTTTGAGCAGTAGGTTGCCCAGCACATCCCAGCACCAGCTGCAGCTTCATCCCCTGGGGTTTAGGGTTTAGGGTTTAGGGTTTAGGGTTTAGGCTTTAGGGTTTAGGGTTTCAAGCTCGTTGCAAAAGGGTTTAGGGTTTAGGGTTTGGGGTCCTGGCACTTCAGGCACGGAGGTCATTGAGCAGAAGTGCGTGGCATACCTCATTGGCGCCTCGGCGATCTCAAGCATGCTTGACTGACAGTCAACCGGGGCTTGGGCTCAGATGGGGCTTACATCTTTCCGGCCACGTTTGGAGGAAACGATAATTAGCTGGCTTCTTGTTCAGGAACCTAAGTCACGTTACCATAGTAAGGGCACGACTTCTTCCTATATACTCCTTCAATGGCATGGCAAATGAATTAAATCTCAATCAAGCGGTGACTCTATTCCAGGAAAGGGTGGCCAGGCTCTCGCAGCGATCAACGCTGCCACTTGGACGAAGAGAGGAGGGCTTGGGAGGCTCCTTTTCATGCTTCTTGCGGTGTTGTGGGCTTCGGTCCTTGTATATAAGTCCAGTGATACATGCAAGAACCGCAGCTTGGGGTACCTCGTACTGCTACTTGGTCCTTGAATAAGCAAGCTAAGAAAAGCTACAATAGTGCATGTGTACCAGATAGCTGAGGCCCCCGGGGATTCTAAGATAGCACGAGAGCATGCAAGAGCATCGTGGGAGCTGCTGAAAGTGGCATGAGAACTCAAATCTTGGGCAAATCGACTCGAGGCAGCAGGCGTTTCCACGCAGATCGACCAGAGCACAAAGTCCTTCGGATACAGCGCCTCAGCTTGTGAGCAAGCAGTTTCCAGGTTGAAAAGGTGGGCCTTGCTAAATTGACCATCCAAGGTATGGCAAACATATACGGCACCGAGGAAGGGACTGCAAAGGTGGGCCATACATAGCTCCGTGAATGCTGGGGGGGGGGGGGGGCGGGCGGGCTGCACAAGGGTGGGGGGGGCAACGTAGCTCATTTCTGGGAGGTCTCTGAAATCGCTTATTGCCTTTCTACACATCTATGCGCTACCCCTCCAAGAGACTCTTTCTCGCCATTCAAGCTGCAAGTCTGAAGCGCCTTTAAAGCCTCACGACGTTCAGCATCCCTTGAAGTGGAAGGCCAAGCTCATTCTTCGCCAAAAGATCTCGGAGTACCGTCCGCTGCGAGGATGAGGTGCAGGTGCGGGCACTTGCGTGCCAGAGGCAGAGAATTGTCGAGTGGACGGTTCAAGTGGATGAAGCTCGGCGTCTGCAGGTCTTGCATGTTTGCAATTACTTTAGATCCAGTATGGTGGGTCGAGGAGGTTGAGGCCTTCAATGTCATCTCTGATAGCCTAAGATTGTGCTTCGGCAAAATCAGGTCACAGCGTCAGTTTGGTAGTCTGGGTTATGAAATCTAGAGCCCTTCACAACCACAGCCTTCTAGCCACACACACACACACACATACGCTCTCATCTTCACTTACCTGTGGCAGGCCAATCCGAAGTGCGAAGCCGACCTCGTTTCACTGGCAGTCGGCCCCCAGTGCTGCTTTCTACCAACTTAAGTCACCGGCAAGAAGCTCAGGGCAAGGATGTAGCACGGGGCTGGCAGTCCGTTTCGACGTTTCTGCGCGCATCAACAATAAGCAGCAACACAGCTGTTGCTGCGCTTCCCTCGGAAACCTCAACCGTGAACCACACCACACACGCGCAAACGGCCTGAATTGTCCTATACGAAGTCCGTCCCAGCTACACACATGTCCCAAGTCAGCATGCGTTGTACCCAGTGTCAAAGTTGTCTCCAATGGCAATTGTTCTTGTGAGTTCGTTTCCCCAAAACAGTCCCCACGACGATACTTGGGACTCAGCAACGGCTTATGATGTGGAAGAGGCTCGCCAATGTCCTTGGCTCCAGGATGCCTTGCGCTCGGTTGCGGCTTTTGGTTGCGTTCAAAGTGTGTGAGATATTTTCCTGATTTGGGGGCTTACGACATGAAGGGTACCTTGTTGGGGTCCTGATTCCAAGGGGATCCTATTATTTGGGGGTCAAAATTGTAGGGGTCCCTTATCATCGTAAACCCCCATTTGGCTTCACCCCAAAAGTATACGAGAGCGAAGAAGATGCACAATACATGTCACAGATGCCGACAGCAGGCGCAAGGCTTTCTGTGGAGGACCAAAGTGGCCCTGGAATTTTCTATTGGATGCCGCAACGGGAGGCTCGTTCTCCTTGCTGGGGTGGCGCATACCCGTCAGGACCCTCATACTGGAGCAATCCCGGGTATGCGTCCTCTGGCAAGGGCTTCGAGGTTTTCTAGCGGAGCGATGCATGGCCGGTTTAGAGTGAATGGGGGCTGGCGAGCAAGATGGTTTTGCCTATGATGGAATGATCATGTGCTGGTTATAGTTGCGTCTGCACTGCTTTTGGCTCCTCAAGCTCGGTCGCATTAGGAGGTTTGGTGATCGTTAGTGTTTGGATTCCGGGCACGTCTCACGTGGCCGTCAACATCTATACCCCTCCAAACGTTGTGAACCTGCCAGGAATCGTGCTGGAGAGGGTAAGCATGTGAGGCACACCCGAAATGATCCCAGATGATCTTGCATGCTCAGACGAAATCGGACTGTGCCGTAGCACGTGCTTTGACCCGAAAGGTGGTCTTTTCTGCTGTGACCAGCAAAGGCATGCAGAGCCTCAGCCGACATGCACCAAAGGACCACCGGAGCAGGCAGAGTCGAAGTAGAAATGAGAGGGCTGGGCTGGGCAGACACGCGGCCAAGGCAAGATGCTCCCATATGTAGACCTGATACTTTCCAGGACTCCATACTTTGTGTAAACGTTGGGCCGCATTCTGCCCACTCTTGCCGGAGTGGCGCGCAGAATATGTCAAAAGATGCGAGTTCTTTCTATTACATGCTATGACCGCTGTCTTGGAGGGTCGCGGAAGAGAAGGGAAGCGCTAGGCTTCAACCGTCCGACTCACCTTCGTCGTGAACTTAACTCCAGGGCTTCTCGTCTAGTTGGCCTACAAGAACAAAGCCATGTCGCACAACAATTCCCAAGTGTTGCCTGCCGATCTTTCCCTGGCAGGTGGATTCCGATCATGTGAGACAAGCTGCTCAGCCATGGTTCCTCTTCCGCTGTATCGTATGTCCTCATAAGCTCCAAGCCTCAAAAAGTTCTTCAGCTACACCATTCCGCGTCTTCAGCCCAGACATGCCCATGCAGTTAGCAGGATGGGCTATTAGGCCTTATAATCCACATAATCAACCCTATAACAGGGCCTTTTTAAGGGGTTATAGAGTATCATAGCCCTGGTAGCCCAACCTCTGCACACCAGAAGCTATAGACGCCTTGGCCGGACCTGGCGAAGCTGGCGAGCAGTTGGCTGCGAGCTCCCGCTGCCCCCTTTCCCTCCCTAGGCGGATCGACCAGGTGTTGTGTTGGGTTTTGGGTTTAGGGTTTGGGGTTTGGGGTTTGGGGTTTAGGGTTTAGGGTTTAGGGTTTGACTTTTTTTAGCAACAGCCGTGGTCTCGTGTAGCAACGGGAGGAGCAGGAGTAGAAGTGGTAGTTGTGCTGCAGCAGGAGTAGGCGCTGCAGCAACAAGCAAACCTCGCAGTAGGCAGGCTATAATCTTCGGTTTAGACATCCGGCATTTGAGTCAACGAGTCGAACCTGAAGCATGCTTCAGCTTTGCAACAGCTGCTGCCAACGCTTTCCAAACTGTTTCGTCGTCACGGAGATCTTTGCCAGCCGTCTCGGATGTACCGAAATACCGCAACGCCTCAAACAGGACTCGCACATGGTTGAACAGGGTATGCTAAAGCGCCAAGTCAGTGCAGCATTCCGTGGCAGGACTACGTAAGCACAATGAAGCCCCAAGTCTTCGTACTGCAACTGTCCTCCCTGGCAAGCTTCAAGTGCGCTCAGCTTCCGAGACGCTCCGGAGCAGAGAACTTCCTGCACCATATGAGGCCAGGTCAACCCTGGCCTCAGAAAGCTTTAAACCGATCAGAGCCCTGACTTCAATGTCCTACACCAGTGCCCGGAGAGCTTAAGTAGCACGAGGCATCAAAAGCCCCGCATCCCATAGCAAAGAAGGGCCACCGCGGTCCAGCGAAGTGGCCCCAGAAAATTGGATCTCCGGGTGGACGTATCGTGCAGAGAAAAATGAACTCTGAGCCTTCTCCTCGTCGTCAACCGCTTGGACCATTTGTGTCCAAGGAGATGGACACCGAGAAATGCCAAGCAGCATTACGTCAGAGCATTTTGAGTCCCGCCCAGTGTGACATGTTCACAACGCTGTTCGCAACGCTTGAGCTTGGCAAAGTCGCACGACATGGTCGCGGAAAGCAGAAGGAGTCGCACTTTGCACCTGTAGAAGCCTGTAAGCTCAGCCACCCAAAAGCCCCAAGTCCTGAACCCCTCAGCCTGAAGTCCCTACCGCGCTGCTCTACAGCGCGAATGCGAGCGGACACATGGCCTTGCAGAGCTGCCTGGGCCCTTCTGGTGCTCCCAGCAGCTGCAGAGCCTTTGGGGCCGCAAAAAAAAAAAGGAGTTTTAGGCATTAGGTGCTGCGGATCTGCGAGAGCCGATATCAGAATCGTAATATGAACCTGCTCCGCCCCTTGATGCATGGTGGTTTCTATCCGGGCTTTTTGGGGAAGAAGTTGCACAAAAGCTTTCGGAAGTGTGTCTTTCTGCAAGCGAAAGCCATTCCAACTCGGTGTCGCCGAGGGACTGGCGTGCCCTAAGCCCGAGACCCCCCAAACCCTAAACCCAAAACCCCCGGGCTTGTACGAGTATGAGAGTCGAAACCCTAAACCCTAAACCCTACAGCGAAGGCACCTGGGACTGCCTGTGACGATCACTGTGCAGAACAAGGAAGGTGCCACGCTCCTTGCGATCAAGGCTTGATCGGATGTCTGGTGCCCTGCGCCACTTCGGATTCGGGTTTTGAGCCGGGGGGTCCGCAACCATCAGGGTCAGCGGAACAAGACGGATTTGCGACTTGTCCCTTGCCGCAGGCCATCTCTTTGTTCACCCGTGTCGTCACGAAGTCAAGGCATCATCGTACTTTCACCACGAGGGTCGATGTCTGAGCTTCCAACCAAACAACAAAACTCGGATAGCAGTCATAACAATCAAATTGCATTTGGTTATAAGTCATATTGGTAATGGTTCATGGGTCATAACAATAAAGCATGAGTGCTGATCCATTGATGCCCAGAAGATTGAGTATTCTGTTAGACGAATACATGTACACGCACGCGAAGACGTGAAGACGTGCTGAAGAAACATGATGTTTTGCAGCACCCTTGTCCGCAGGCCAATGAGTCAGTGCACGAGGCCGTGGAGCGTTTCTGCACCTCGCAGACGCAGAGTGCAAAGGCAGTTCAACTCCGGCCTTGGGGGCTAAATCGATCTCTGAAGTTGGCAAGGTACTTAGTATGTAGGCAGCGACAAGCATGTGGGCATGACATGCACCATCACTATGCCAATGCATATGAGCACATTGGCGTGATGTGTTTTTTCACGGCCTGACGTGTGTTAATATAGTTCGTATGGTTTATTTGGCAATATGCACAATGTTGCTGTTTCGCCAGCATCGTACATGCATCTCTAGAGCACCATTTTTGCGCCACCACGGTGGACCCGACTATCCACTCAGGCAACTGGAACTTTATGCACACCGTGGCGTCACGCAGCCAGGACCAACGACGCGTGCCGATGGCCGCTGACTGGAGACAGTTGCCCTAGAATCAAGTTTCGGAGCACTTTCTCTTCTGGCGACCAGCCAACCAGATTCGCCTTAGACTGTCAATCTTGGAAATTGGGACCCAGTGAGGCATAGGAGCCCAAGGAATGCAAGTCACGTTGTGTCACATTTCAAGACATGCTTGCTGTTCCGCTGTGCTTCTTCTGCATCAAATGTGATGCTGAGCTGCAGCAATCTTGAGCTACCGGTAGTGAGGGCTAGGACATCAGCATTGCCTCTCAGCTTGAATGCGGCTCTTGTGTAGCCCTGTACAGTGCAGGTGTAACCCAGCCTCTCTGCCATAGGTGCGCGTAGGCATCGATAGGAGCCTGCAAAGATCCGTGGTTGCAGTATGTGGTGGTCACGAAGAACAACAGACGCTGTCTGTTGGAAAACCTTGAACCCTGAAGTAGCTATACGGAATGCTCGGACGTTCTGGGTCGGGTCACATTGTAGTCCTACAAAATAGAGCGGCGTCAAACCTGTTGGCGTGCTCCGCGTAGGCTCCGCATAAGCCGCACGAAAGCTTGCTGAACATAAAAAAATGCGCAACTGTGACTTTCCAGGCGTAAGCCTGTAAGCTGTCACGCAAGTCGCAGGACGCCTACAGCGACCAGGCGGCGTGTGTATGAGATCTTCACGGGAGAAGCCTCACGAAGGAGTTGTTGCAGCGAAGATGGGCTAGGGACGTGTTCCGGGACTGACCTCATTAACTTGCAATTCCAGGTTGGTGCATAGGATATTCAATATTCGGGCGTCCGGCAGATAAGGAAGTCAGTTCAGGAAACCTGATTTGTTAAAGGAGGTGAAATGTCTCAGACATGTATTATGGCCAGCCTCCAATCTGCAAGACGACTTCCTCAGCGCCCCTTGCAGAGGTTGTCGACATGTCATACCGGAAAGTCCTGATCATTATCTGGCCGATGCCAAAGCCATGGCACAAACGAAGCCGACACATTCCAAGGATGGGGTTTTCGTTTGTGTAGTTATATGGCGAGTGGACTCGCCTATATCCAATGAGTTGATTGTTGATGCGATCAGCGGCGACAATCGGCCATATGCCAGGTGGGACGGCCGGCACGATGCAAGGACATGTTCCTCACTATGGCCCAGGATGCCGCACAGGAGAAGAGGCATGGGACGGGGCAGACGGGAAGGGGGCCGAATGACGAATTGTGTGGAAACAAACTCGAGAGACCCAATCTGTTTTCTTTCGTTATTATCCACAAGATGAATGCTTTCCAGCGCACTCTGCCCCAGAAGTATCCGCAGAAACCTATGCACAAGTTCACTGCCTGCCGCCCACGCGAACTGCACGCATGAGCAGAACCTCCTGCTTCACCAGGTAGCGCCTTCAGCCCATGCGATCTCTCATGCGATCCATGCTGCGATGTCTACGCCTAGGCACATGCCAAAAAAAATCGAAGCTTCAGGCATTGGCTGAAGGCTCTGGCACCGAAGGCGCCCTGGCCACTGGAGGGCAAGGGACCTCGCCGGCTGCTGTCCTTAGACGACCAGCCCCTGGGCTGCTTTAAGCCTAGGACTCTAGGGCCCGGAGTAGGCCCTTATGCCCCCTGATTTTTTGGGCTAAGGTTACCCTTACAAGCCCCTTGAACCCAGAAAGGGTGTTCCCTACTCTTGGTTGGGTCTAGTTTTGTTGGGTGGCATGTTTTGTCTAAGCATGCAGGCAACATGTGGCACTCGTCTTGGAGGAACTGGCTCTGTTGTGAGCTGAGCTCACTAAGATAGATAAGACCATTTCGCTTGCAGGCAGCTTGCATGTGTCTTTCCCCGGCTATGGGCAGCAGGGCTGATGGTTCTTTTTCGTGTTTTGTTTGTGTTTGTTCCCGTGTTTTTGTTTTTTTTGTTATGCTTTCAGGTGAACCCTAACACCTAGACCCTGAACCCTAAAACCTGAACCCTGAACCCTAAACCCTAAACCTAATCTCTAAACCATGGAAAATACGAAAAATGCCAAGAAAATGCGAAAAAAACAACCTGGACCCGGGCAGCAGGGTGGTGTGCTGATCATGTAGGCCCCGCATCGTTTGGCGACATAGGGTTTGAGCAGTACTGGTTACAAGGAGCCATGCTCTTCGTGAGAACTCCTCTCCACAACAAACCCTCCTGCTTTTGTTACTTCACGACCCGTATCTCTAGCTCACGTTGACGCTAAACCCTAAACCCTAAACCCTAAACCCTAAACCCTAAACCCTAAACCCTAAACCCTAAACCCTAAACCCTAAACCCTAAACCCTAGGAGTGAAAAAAAAAACAAACCCCAAACCGTAAACGTCAAATCCTGAGCCATCCTGGGCAGCTCAGGATGAACGCGGGTTTGATCCTCGCAGCTTGGAAAGACCTCGGCACCTTGACTTGAGTCTTCCTGTTTTCCCTGTGCTGCTCTAAGTGGTCAATCTCTCCATAGCAGGAGGGACATGTGCCTCGTGCATGTTATGCACGAGGATGTTGAGAATTATGCTGTACTGTACTGTGTCTTGTTTGTGTACAACATCTTGCGGGCATGTTGAGGTGCTCTTTCGTGTTCTAGCCAGCAGACAGGTTGGAGTTTTTGGATGCACCGGAAACTCACAAATTCAGGCTTCACAGAGCTGGACAACCCTGGAAGCTTGCATACCTTTGCAAGTGATGGACAATGGGACGTCTGCACCCCGGCTACGGGTTTTCAAGACTTCAAACTTTTCCAGGTCCTCCACATCGCACTTGTCTGATAAGCGACGCCGTGTCGCCCGATGTTTCCAGAGTTCCAGGTGCTGTGGAGCCTGGTGCCCCAGCAGGGCCGCTCCGTCGATTTGCTGCTTGGCTGCCTTGTGGTCCGAACCAACCGCAACAGTTAGTTAGTCCCTCTCAGTCCCTCTCCATCGATCGCATGTTGGGATCCTTTGCGCGGCAAACTCAACGCAATAGAATCTGAAGGCCTCCCCAGGCTAGCTAGCAGACCCAGGTCTTCCTTCCTGGGCATCCCCGTTGACTGGTCCTTCTACAGAAGCTTGCCTGCAACGCATGTATCCGCATGATGGCGCCTCGCCGATATCAACATACGCGAACACGGCCCTACCAGCGCAACATGACGCTGACCACTTTCCTGCAAGAATCATGATACATGGGCGCACTAAGCCTCGTCGACAAAGCCAGGATGGTATTTGCCAACTTGGGACTTCGCTCGGGCCCGCGCTGATCAGACCCACAACCACTGTCTTTGGGCTGCTATAGTACCGAATCCCGGATGGGAACCTGGAGAGAGAGTGATGTTTGTCAGGAGTGTTTAAAGGCTAAAGAAGCTCTGAGCCCAGTACGCATTTGCCCGCCATTGCCATGCAAGCCAGGCAAGCCCATGCGCCAGCACTAGTGCTCGGAGGCATGTCGTGTGTCACTTCACGTAAGCACTGTAGATCATTGAGCGCAACTGCCACCCTTTTGGGGAAGGCTGGCTTGCGGTTTGACGGCCAGAGAGCGTTCAGCGCAACTCACAGCGAGTCGTTGAAATACCGGAGGCTTGACATTCCACGGTGCGCCCGTCGGCCCGACGCTCGGATGCCGCCAAAGACGTGGCGTGGCTCTTTGTACTAGTTTGCAGATCATACTCCATGTGCATCGTTGAAGGCCGTTGCCAGAAGTGTACCAGGTTTTCGCACGTCTAGGCATACTCAAGCAGTTCAGCGAGAAATTTCGCTTGCGGCCTATTCACCAGAACGACTGCCCGCTGCTGGTACCTTTGGGATGCACCTAAGGAAGCAGCACTTGGCCATCAGCATTCGCAAGCTGAGGCCGAGTTCTTGCCAGCAACCTATCGTGTTCCAACCTTCAGCCCAACCCTACACCCGTGTTCAGTCCTGGAGCCCGCATCATGCTGCCAAGAAAGCAGATGTTGAGCCGCTCGCCCTGGATTCTGGATGAGGGACCACTTGGCAACGACACACTCCGAGCTGCTAGACACGGCCTCTTGGCTTGGAAGGCACAGCCGCCCAGCTCTCCACCCACAAGCTTAACTTTTGGTTCCAGAAGGACTGTGATCTTGAGTCCTCAAGCCCTGCCCATACGACTGCAGTTGTAAGAAAACTGGAGGTGTTCCACATGCAGGGCCTGGCGTTTCCCGGATACTCCGAACCAACGGCACAAATGTGGAGAGACACAGGATGACCTAGGAGTTTCTTTGTTAGTCAGCCTGGAGCAGCGATTTTATTTGTCACGCAGCATCAGAATCCTGAAGGGCCCTATTTGAAACAACTTGTCTGCGAACCGAGGAAGATGAATGCGTGGCGTCGCTCTGCTTCCCCAAGAGCTTCTTGGCTGAATACGTCTTGGCTTGCCTCGCAGTGTCACACCGGACCGCACAATGCAGTGCCTTGTGTCATCTGGAACCGGTACGGAATGGGCGTCCTTTCGACGCAGGCATTCTTTGCATCGAACTCTTGATTGAGCTGCAGATTCAAGATGTAGACAGCGAGGGTGGGGAAAAGTCCCGTGCTAATCAACAGGCCAACTAGTATTTTGAGCCCCAATAGGCATCGAGCATAAGGCCCGGAAAATCCTGGAAAGGCTCAGTCCTTCCTTCCTACCCTACACCCTGATGGGTCCGGACCCTGACCGGATCGCAAGACCAAAGCTGCCAGGCCACGTGGTCGTGGCTGGCAGTCATGGACTGGATGACACCGAGACGGTTCACAGGAAGCTGTCGGGCGGAGAGGAGCTGGTGCCTGGGCCAGACGAAGTTACAATGGCGTGAGGTATATTGAGGATTCACGGGAGATTTCTAGTGCTTGGATTCAGGGGGAATGCGGGGGGGGGGAGCAGGGGGGAGCGGGGACAGAAGATTTGAGAGCTTCAGATCTGTTAGAAACTACACCAAGCCCGTCAAACCCAGCGCCCGGGTGGCCGAAAACATACCATCACAACTTCGGAGATACAACTTCGCACGTTCGAAGATGTGCGACGCGACAAGCCGCCAGATCGCAACCTACAATCTGACCCTCCGTCCCCCAAGGATTTTGTTGCATAGCCTGCAGTAACAAAGCGAAGCTGCGGTCAAGCTGTTCAGGCTCGAGCGCCGACAATCCGCCTTGCCCATTGCTACAACCAGCTGATTCCCTCGGATTTGTAGAAAAGGGCAAGGTAAAGGATTGCTTTTGTTCCGTAAGAAGCCGATGATTCCGACAGGTTTCTCGGCCCGAAGTTTCCAGTCTCTAAGGAGAATTCTTGCCACCCCCCTCCCAAACTTGGTCGTCATCCATGGCACACCCTTGCAAGGTGACCGCAGCAACAGGCGTAAGCTTGTGCTTTGATTGAAGTCCTGCCAAGTCAGGTACCGATAGATGCAACTTTTGAAGCCCACCGGCCCCACCCCGAAGACGTGGGCCTAGGTCGCAAAAGCCAGTCATTCCTCAGGCGGGCGCAGCATTACGATGCTTGGCACTATAATGACCTTGCAAAAAGCCCAGGACATTTGGAGATTGGTTCAAGGGCGTTGAACGAGAGAGACCTAGACCTCCTGTAAGACTCTTTCTCGTCATACCCCTTTGGCAACTGGACATGGCAACCCGCTCCCCCGAATGCCCCCCCAGACAAAGAAACGAAGTGCAATACATGTAAGTAAATATATATATATATATATAGTTTATTTGTTTATATCGATTTATTATATACGTATCTGATATCTGTATTTATGTATATGCATGTGTATATATATATATATGTACATAGGGATTGGGTATGGTCATACTGAGCTAGAGGCTGTGTTGTGTGGTTTTCACATGTATAGAGTGTGGTTTTCAACCGGAACGAAGACCCCTTTGTGAGGATGCTGCGGTCACCGCCGGATTTGTCGAGCCTTCTTGCCCGAGCAAGCCCGGGCACGGCGCTCCCTGCTTGACTCAGTGCCCCTGTGTGTAGAGCAGTAAGACAGGTCGGCGTGGTTTCCGAAATGGTGGTGAATCTTGTTTCTTGTTACTGCGGTCTGTGGTTTCAGGTTTTGATGCTAATTAGGGTCCTCTGCCTTGTCCTGCGGCATGCAGATCTTAGCCTGACAGTCTCCCGCACAAGGTTCTTGGTCCAGCGACGCATCCGGTCTCCACTGATCGAGGGCCGCCGATTCCACTTCCGACTCTATGTTGGGATCACATCCCTGCACCCTCTCCGCGCTCCTCAGACTCAACTTGGCCAAGAAGTGTTCCTACAGTAGGCTTTCCTAAGCCTTTAGGTCTCGGTTTCAGGTTTGAGGGGTCTTAAGTTCGCTGCTATGGCTAGGGGCACCCCCCAGTGTCTGCTTGAAAGGTGTATGTCCACCACGACGACGATCATGGAGGTTATGCCGTTCTGGCTACAACAGCTGCGTCCCATTCAACGGCTGCGAAAGGGGGGGAACTGCCAGAGGAGGAGAAGACTTGCCACTTGTCTGCTCAGACTAGTGCAGTTTGGGATCAACGGCACCATTAGCCACGCCCAAGATGGACGCACGGGGCTGCTGAGGATTGTTTTCGAGTCTGTGAGTGCATAGGAGTGCGTATACAGTGATTCTGATTAGCGGTGGCCGTGCTCGGGGTTGGGATTGCTTGTACAAGATGATCGGTCTGGCTGCTGGTGCCTGAGATGAAGAGGTACCCGCAATTCTCTCAGCAACTCAGGTTCTCACGTCTCTGGCGTTTGCACGACAAAGGAAGACGAGGCAGGTAGTTTTGGTTCTTGGCGCAGCCGGTCTGACAGCTGGCTGAGAGCTTCCGATTGCTTCATGAGATGTTACTGGTTTTGGCTTATCGCTGTTCCGGGACCCTTCCCCCCTCCCGCCCTCCTATAGCGCCCTTCATGATGGAGAGGCCATGTGTTTGTTTTCGCTTGTCACGGCCGACCTCTCCCACATTCTCCACATCTAAACCGCTACGGCACATCTGGAACCCTGATTAAATAGCCCTTGTTCCCTTCCACAGGAGTTCGTGACCAACTATGGAGATCGGCAGAAATCCCAGAGCCAGCGTTTTGCCTGAAAGCCTCTCTGTGTTCACAGGGTGTCTTGTTTGGGAGCTTGCGAATCATAATGAGCTGATATCCTTGGCAGACAGCTGTGAACAGCGCCCGTCAAATCTGCATTCCCTTGCTGTGCCGCGATCAGCATCACAAGAGCTCAACGTCATCACGCTTGCATGGGTAGGTGCAGGTATCGGCAAGTTGATGGCGGGGGGGGGGGGGGGGGGGGGGGGGGGGGGCGATGGCTATGGTCGGCAAGCACTGAAACTCAGGTTTTCTGCACTCTACAAAAGTCGTACTGGAGCCGATCCGGAAGCGCTCCTTCGTCGCCCCCCGATTCATACCGAAGTTGTTGTGCCGAGGCTGTCAGGCCAATGTACTGTCACTATGGGACTCGTGAGAACCATTGATTTAGGGACGGCATGTCGGGCATCTGGTCAGGGCAAATGGCAGCTTTCGAAGCCCCTATCGATGCGTTACCCCCTGAAGCAAGAAAGCGCCTTGCCAAGCAGATCGGCAAAGGGTGCGTGGCCCTGCTTGGTCCGCCTTGTTAATTTTTGAGGGGCTGTTAAACAGTCGCATGATGTTGCGAGCTTCTCAGAAAGCAGCAAAGACTGCTTCTTGGGGGCCCTGCCTCCTGCGAGGAATGCACCACAGCATCGTGGTGATGCTCCTTGCAGCTGGCCACCATAGCCGGCACACTGACGTCTTCAGAAGACTGCAATCCCTCCTCGGCGAAGTGCCTCAGCCTTCGCTCTCTTATTGCGAGTCAGGGTTGTGCCCCAGGATTTTCCGTCCCGAGGGTTGGCGTTTGGTGGATCTAAATTCAAGTTGAAGGGTCTATCAGCAGTCTGGAAGCCCTTCCCAGGTACCTTGTAGATTGTAGCCATGATGAATCAGACACATAGTTCGGTGGCCAGAGAGACTTGCAGTAGTCAAGTGTTCGAGAAAATTTGGTGTGTCGGCTGCAGCTGCAAAGTGCTCAAGCCACTTTGCTCTGTTGCTTGAGGCACGCTGTTTCGAGATCCTGGGCGTGGACTTCCTCTTCGAGGAGTACGAGGAGTCTTTACGCGTACAGTACAGCGATGAGGGGAGGTTGCCCGAGCACCTGTCACTAGGCCCTATAGGCACCCTGCAGAGTGCTGAATGCAACCTTGTGCCAACACAAGAGTAGCTGATGTGGGTTTTCAAGGATCCAGACTCAGAGTTTACATTTTGGCTTGGGCGCCTAGCCGCACTCTAAGCTGTGGGACTCAGAGAAAGTTATGTGAAAATTCACCTAGTGTGCACTACTTTCTGCTTGTATAAGTCATGTTCCATTTCTACATGTGCCTGGGGTGGCAACCAAGCGCCTAGCCTCCCTTTTCCCGCTTTGCTTCGAAGTTCCGGGGCAAGGAAACCCTACAGATGTTTGCGGGCTGATGCGCATCTCTCAAATTCCCAAACGCACATGACAGTGCTGCCTCAGCCGAGGTAAATATGGTACAACCAGACACTTTCAATGTCAGACTCCAGACTCGAATGGAAGATGGAAGAGTGGAGCGAGGAGTAAAGGGAGGAAGGAGCTAGGCATTTTCAAGAAGCACGCTGCACTCGCATTGTGGGTTGTTGCAGCAAATTCTCGTCCTTCGCCTTTTCAAGACGCGAGGGATTTTGCAAGCGTCGAGGGCAAGCGTTGGAGGCCTGAAATGTAAACACCCCAGCCTTTAAGAACCGCATGCCATGCCTGGGTCCAGAGTTTCGGAGCACAGCTGCCGCACCTTTTCTCCCCTCCTCCCGCACTTTTTGTTCCCTCCATCCGCTTGTGGTCGTGGTCCAGGACAGAAAAGAGTCTCCGGCTGTAGCCAGAGGCATCCTCACCGAGAGAAGAGCGGAGAGGCATCTCCATGCAGGAGATCCTGGAAGGCCGGCGCCGCCTCGCTTGGGTTCCGCTCCTGGGCTTGAGTCATTTGAAGGGCGTGGGCACCTCGCAGAGAGCACCTTCGAGAGCGCTCTAAAAGCTTTAAAGGCTGCTGTTTGGGTTTTAGAAGAGCCAGGGTGTTTGAGATTGCAACTAACAGGAGGGAAGCCATGAAGGGTCTGAGCTGGTGGCCCGTGTGATCGGACGTTGCTGGCACCTCTTGCGCTCGGAAGTAGCGTGCGGCCGAACTTACAGCAGAGGCATGCAACTGGCAGCGACCCAGGTACCTCATTGACGTCACCCCTTCGCCGGGGTATGGAAGGCACTGGGATGAAGTTAGGTGAGATGAGGGCTGCTTTGGGGCGCCGCATCATGGCAAGAGTTCAATGCTTTGGGTCGCTTGAGACCCTAGTGGAGGACAGCCTACTGAAGGGAAACCAGGGGCCTGCTCGGGACGTTTGAGAAGGGAGCTCGGCATTCTTGTTGACCTTGCTCTCCACACGATTGCAGACGTGAAAGGGCCCGGTCTCGTACAGTAGGGGCCCAGCGCTATAACAAGTCCTTTCTCTGCATGGGCAGCGAAGGGGTTGGCTCATGTTGAATTGCAAGCAGCCATGAAGCTCTTGTGCTGTTACAGTGCTGTTCCAATCTTGTAAAACAAACAGCACTTCGCCAGTACTCAGCTTAACAGCCTACCTGTGAAAGTGCATGGAACTATCGTGATAGTCTGCATGGAAGGCCTACCGGAGCCGCATCGCACGGCATGCTCCGCGACTTTTTCCGCGCCTTCGCACCAAGGCTGCAAGGAATTCAAGAGGATGAGCTCAGCGCCTCAAGAGCAAGTGGACAGGGCATGCTGACTCCAAGGTGACGGGTGATGCTGATCCAGAGAAGCCCACTCCACCCGATGAGTCGACTGACACAGGAGAAGAGGAGCAATGGCAGGCATGTTCAGCAACCGTTAGAAGCAGCGCTTCTGGGTGCTTCTGGAACACGTGCACCTGCTTTCGTGCGCAAGCCGGAACCTCAGAAAACCTCAAGTCTGCCGTAAATTCCCTTTCCCCTTGCGGCATCATGTTGCACTGCCTTTAGCAACTATACCCGCAATTGTGTGAAGTTTGTCGTCCGGGGATCCCGGGGTGCCAGTGCCAGGGAACCAAGAAAGATAGCGAAATATGAATAAGACCACCCTCAAGCTTCAAGGCTTCGAGCCCTGGCCGCCCTACCCTCAGCCCCCGTTCCCGTTTAACGAGGGTGCACACAAACCCCGAAATTGTTTGGGGAAGGGGGGGGGGGGGGGGGAAGGACCCCTAGATACATCTAGATACGAACGCGAGCGCAACATTACCTAGCAAATAAGACTCGTATTGATAAATAGGCTCGTGCTGGCGAGATAGCCCGTGCCAACAATCTAAGCCGAATCTAAGCAGGAGATTCCCAGACACATCTTATCGTAGGCGTCGGCCGCTCTTTGGCACATTTGCTTTTTGCATCGCCGGAGGCAGTGGCACAGCAGGCTGCTTCACTCGGCTTGAAGGTGAGCAAAGAGGCGCTGCATCACAAGCATCCCAGCACCATGCTCCATTCATCATGGCATGATCATCGCAGGGCCGCATGAGTCCTTTGAGCAGTCCGCCTCTTCCAGTCTTGGCAACTGACACGGTAGCTCATTCATCTTCTCGTAGTTCTCGGCCACGCCACTGACAGAGTGGCACAACCTCTTTCCTCCAGGATCGCGCGCTCATCCGGCGCTTCAACGAGGAGGCCAAAAGTGCTGGCAGGCGGCAATTTCGGCACACCTCCTTGCACATTTGTTCGTATTTTGTGGCTCACCTGGCTCACCTCCTTGCTCCGCTCCCCTGCGCGCCTCCAGGTGGCATCGTCTCTTCCCGCCAGCAAGGTCTGCCTGCAAAACTTGTGCATGAAGACTGCTGGGGTGTCCTTCGTCGTTGCCTGTAGTCTCTTGCTGTTGCTCCCGTCAAGCTGCAGATTGCGGAGCTGTCACCCCTATCAGCCCTTTCAGGGGGACTGCTGTGGGCATGACCTTCAATTACGTGCCACTTTTCGCTGGCGGCTTGAGCCACGAGGACCACGGGACTTCTGACATAGGCCTTTTCTATCGAGCATGCCCGACCGCAAGCGCAATAGTCTCAGACATCTGGTAGATTCTGGTAGATAGCAGTGACGCGTTTACGTGAAGCAAAGCCGAAGTCAGGGCCCTTCTGCTCATAGCTCATGACTTGCCAACATCACCTGGTTCGGCTTAAAGGCTTAAACCCTCCTACACGTAAACAAGATTTCGTGACAGCTTCGCGGGGCCCACATAGTTGGGACCTCCACTGGAGGATGCGCTGTCCATGCTCTGGGCCGGCATCCCACCCGAGGAGTTGCAAGTTGAAGGTGGGGTGGGGGGGGGGGGAGGGGTACCATAGCTACAAATTCGGGCGGGCTTACTTCTAAGGGTGGAATACATACATATATATATGTATATGTAGAGATAGATAGATACATACATGCATACATATGTATATATATGTATATATATATATATATCTATCACAAGGGAGCCAAATGAAGGGCTCATACTTCGGATCCCCTATTACTGGAAAGAGTCTCGGCTGTTGAGGAGATGTATCGGGGGGGTTGGTTGCTCAGGGTTCGGAGCTTCGGGCCCCTTGTCTGGCCGACCCAAGATCTCAGCTGCACGGAAAAGCAGGTTTAGGGTTTAGGGTTGAGGGTTTAGGGTTTAGGGTTTAGGGGGCGCGCCTTCGGAGACTCTTTCAAAGAGCCGTTGCATCCACTTTTAGCTCACGTTGTGCCCGGAGCGTCGAACAGTAATCAGATCGTCCCCCTGACTTTTGATTGCTCTGCTACGATCGTATACGACTCAGCATGGGAGTATATATTCCCAAATTTAGTTGGTTTTTGGCCGAAATGACTTCCCCCATTTTTCGTAGTTCAGCAAGTCGCGATTGACAGGTGGAATGCGAGGCGTATCGTCCAAGGCAACCCAGGTTGTGGACGAAGTGCTGAATTGCTGCTTGGCCAAGGAGGGGCCTTCGACATTCATTGGTATTGGACACAGTCGAGACCTGTGCATCTCCTGAGTCATCACGACTTCGTCTCGAGCCCTCGAACACGTCGCACACACGCGTTGCTGATGACCCAGCTAAGGCTATTTTGAGCGGGCCGGTGGTCACACGATCTCACCAAGAGAGGAGTGGCCACACGCCAAGCTATGCCAAGCTTGTGGATTCTTGTGGTTCCAGGGGGAACCCTAGACTCTAGACCCCAAACCCTAAACCATTGGTTCAGGTATTCAGGGCATCGTATGAGCTGATGCCGTGGAGGAGTTCGTCCTCACGCAAGGCCTCATCAGGCTTTCCATGGCTCCGGATGCGGAGCCTCTGGACTGCCTCAAGAAGATTCTAGGTTGGTCCCATTCTGGGGGGCGCCAATACTGAATGCTACGGCACGAAAAGATCACCACAAGGGACCTTAATGCAGAACAGCCCGAACATCGACTTTGGGATTGGAGCCTGCGCTGCTCAGCGTTGCAGCTAACAGTCACTCTGCGCACGCGCGCCCATCGCGCGGCAGCCTGTTCAGGTCGAACTTGGGAGGCAACAAGGTCATCAGCAACGTCCCCGCCTTCCTTGCAACTCGGTTGTTCACAGCTTACCTGATTTACTTTTTCAGATCGCAAGTCGACTGCACACTGATCTGGCAAAGCCACGATATCTTCGCCAACCGAGGTCAATTTCATCGAGTCCGGCTGCGCCCGGGGTCGAGTGAGTCTGCCGTCCTTGCTACAGCTGCTGACGTAGCCTGGAACTTGTGGGGCATGGTTGCAGAGAGAGCCCCCACAAAAATCAGGTTTCTGCCCCAGATCCATGAGCACCGGCGTCCTCAGGCCCAAAGTGGCCACAGGACCCTAAGCTCTACATGAGCCACTTGAAGACCCTGTTTGGGACCAGGATGGCTGTGAGCCAGTGGCTCAGAGGGAAAACAAGCCGAAGCAGCATGAATAACGTTACGAGCTTTCCTCTTAGCACCAAGGGGCAGGATGATCCTCAGGTTGAAGCCAACTATGTTGTTCGAGGGCATGTTGATGGCACTCGGGGCACTTGTGGCTAACTAAGAGAACACTGAGAATGGATCGAATGCTCCATGTGGTTCATGAGTTGATCATGCAAGCCTGCCAAAAGGAGCTTGCAGAGCTTGGTTTGAAGACCCCAGCCCAGTCCCAGGTCATTCCAGAGACTTCTGTCTCAACCATGCACAAAGCACCTCTACCATCGCTGCATTGGCATCTCTCAAGGAATGATTCAGGACAGATGACGTGACACAAAGTGCCTGTAGCCTCACTCACCCTACCTCCGCCAGCTCCCCTACTCCCCACCCTCCCCTTCTAGAACTTCCGGGACATGGCCGTGCAGCGACTGGCAGGTGGCGAATTGCAGGCGGAGCTGTTGCCAGCCCACAAGGGATGCAAGAGTCTTTGGCCGGTGGTGATGGCAATCCTATTGGCTGACCTAGTGGCCTCGGGTTTGCTGGTGGTGGGGCGCCTGGCAATGAACGGGAAAGCTGGCCTGCAGCCCGTGGTCTTCTCTTGGTATCGCTACCTCGGATCAGGCCTCATCATGCAGCTTTGGCTATGGGCGTCGAGCGGCAAGACGCCCCTGCAGTCCTTGCCGCAGAGGAAAGATGCTTGGAAGTTTCTCGTCTACGGGACATGCCATGCCATGGGGCAGGTGCTGCTTTTCAGGGCATTGAAGCTGCTGCCTGCTATCGTCCCAAGCGTCTGGAAGAACTCGGTGCCCGTCTTCGTGTGCGCGCTCTCCTCTTGCGTGGGACTTGAGCAGCTTTCGCCCCACAGCCGGGCAGCAAAGCTGAAGCTTCTGGGCATCGGCCTGTCCGTGGTTGGAGGGGCAATATATGTGTGGTTGAGCTTTGTCTGGAGCACAGGTCATCCTAAAGTGGTGCCAGGTAGCGATGTGCCACTTGGGCAGACCCTCATGCTGTGCAGCACGCTTGCTGTGTCCTCATGTTGGGTGATGCAGAAGGTGTGTCTAAACTGCAGCCCAAGCTCTCTATACACAGTGGCTTGGGGTGTGACTTTTGCCCTAGTTCCGCTAAGCCTGGCGGCATTGCCACAGCTTTCCTTGGAAGCCTTGCAGCTCTCGGGGGCCCAGTTGGTCTATGTGGCCTATGCCATGCTGCTACCTTCTACACTGGGCTTTTTGATGCAGGCTTGGGCCATGCGCCACAGCAGCCCGGCCTTCGTGCTGGCCTTCGACCCTTTGGGCTCTGTCATCACTGCCCTCGTGGCCTGGGCAGCACTGGGCGAAGTCCCCTCCGCGGCGACCCTGGCCAGTGCACCCGTCATCATGCTGGGCCTCGCAGTCCTGTTGCTCGGCTCACGCTCGCAGCTTGCAGATCCTCCCCAGGCTCCTTCACTGTCCGGCATGCTGCAGCACAGAGATGCTGAAGGTGACGACGCACCTGAGGAGCCAGAAGACCCCGAATCGGAGAGCCCTACGCGAGCCTACGTGCGGTCGGGAGCGGTGCCGCAGTGATCTCTGACATCATAAGCCGTTATGGTCCATGGCTCCTGGCCGAGGCAGACCTCATGCAGACGGATTTGTTCTTTGGTTTTTTCGTCATTTCAATATGTGCCACGGATAGCTCTCCGCCATAGGTGGCGTGATTCCGTGGATGTTAGAGGGGCAGATTGCAGTCTAGAAGCGGATGCGTGTGGAAGCACGGAGCCTTTGCTTCTTCGTAGCTAGGAGCAGCTTGGGTCGCTTTGCCAGTGCAAGTGTGACAAATGGCAGTGGGGCCGCGCATGGTCTACAAGTTCATACCTGCATTTATGTAGCTCAGCTAATCACTGTGCATCTTGCAGCTAAAGAGAGAGCGGGTGACAGGTGTGGGACATATACTGGCATACTATAATGGACTAGATCCGCAAGAGTAGGGTGATTGCTGTGGATGGTCGGGACATGTCAGGATGGACCTAAACAAGAGACACTGACATCTCGTTCATGTGGTTCAAGTGGTCAGCCGCTTCCCTCCCCGCTTCGCTGCTTAGTACTTAGTACTCGCCGTAGCAGCCATGGCGGAGCTAATGGAGCTTGGCCCAGACAGGGTGAGCATCATGTGTGGGTTCGTGCTTCTGGTGGTGACGGCCATCTTTGCGGCGAAGCTGGAGTTTGCAGACGTGCTGCTTGTGGCAGCCTTGCGTTGCTTGGCCCAGCTCGCCCTCCTCGGGCTGGTGCTTGAGGAGGTGTTTGCTCTCGATGAGCCGACACTGGTCTTTGGCTACATTGTCTGCATGATCCTCCTCGCCTCCCGTGAAGGCTTTGCAAGGACAAAGGTGTACTATAGGGGCATGCTCCTGAACATGCTGCTGGCCTTCCTGGTCTCCATTGCTTCCGTCGGACTCCTGGGCGGCTTTGTGCTCGTGCTGCGGCCGGATCCCTTCATTCAGGCACGGTACCTGATTCCGATCTGTGGCATGATGCTGGGAAACGGCCTTACCGGCTTAACCTTGGCGACCGACCTCTTCACGGCACACCTGACCGAGAAGACAGATCACGTTGAGGCGTTGCTCGCGTACGGCGCGGGGCCGTGGCTTGCGATGCGCCCTGGCATCCGGTCGGTGTTGAAGCGGAGCATGCTGCCAACCATCAACCAGATGTCTGTCGCAGGCCTCGTCTCCATTCCTGGCATGATGACTGGCCAGGTGCTCGGGGGGTCGCCCCCATTGCAGGCGGCCCTGTACCAGGTCTTCATCTTCTACCTCATCACCACTGGCACCTTTGCATCTTCATCGCTGATGCTGTTTCTGTCGGCACGTGCGCTGACCGACCGCAGGGGCAGACTTGTGGTCGCCAAGCTCCGCACAGAGCAGCGCATCAAGATTGCGGAAGCCGTGCTTGTGCCTTTCATAAAGCTCAAGAACTACGTGTCTTGGAGATGTTGTGGCGGCAAAGCAGGTACTCCCGACAAGAAGCTCAAGCATGACCCTGCTGTCAAGGCAGACACGGACGTGGCAGGGGCAGAGGCGGCTCGGCCCCCGCCTTCGCCTCAGTGCCTTGTGCAGCTGCAGCGTGAGCAGGCGCCTGACAGCCCAGGAACCCTGCGCTTCAGGACCGCGGCTTTGCGGGAGGGTGGCCGCGAGCGAGGACCTGTGCTGCTGAGGGACGTGGACTTCTCCGTGTGCAACGGCTGTGTGGCTACCCTCTTGGGTCCCAGTGGCTGTGGGAAGAGCACGCTGCTACGGGCATTGGCAGATCTGCTCCCCAATGCCAGCCCAGAAGAGCTGAGCCTGGAGGGCAAGCCAGCCTCCGGCATGCGAGGTCGCAGCTGGCGGCAGAAGGTGCGATACGTTGCTGTGCCCAAGGCTCCCATGGAGGGATCTGCCAGGGACCTCGCTGCCCAGGCAGCGCGGCTCGCAGGGGTGCCCAACCTGCAACGCACAGCAGAGGGGCTCATGCTGGACTGGGGGATGGATCCACAGCTCTTTACCAAGCCCTGGAATCAGCTTTCCACGGGCCAAACCCAGCGTCTCTTCCTTTGCATAGCCCTGGCCTCGAACCCCAGTGTGCTGCTTCTGGACGAGCCCACCTCTGCCTTGGACGACACCGCCACCGCGCACGTGGAGGCGTCTCTCCGCAGCTTCCTGCAGCGCGGAGGCACTGCGGTGGTGGTGACCCATAGCCGTGCCCAAGCAGACCGCTTAGGCCGATTCGGAGGCGTTTGGGAAGTGAAGCCTGCCGAAGATGCAGGCGAGGCTGAGCCATTTGAACCAGTTGTGCCGCAGAGGTGGTGGGAGGGGCAATTGCAGAATTCTTTAAAGCCACCCCCAGCTTGTATCCCGCGGTGCTCCGCGCAGCAGCTTTGATCGAATCGAATCAGCGGCTTGCTATGTGTAGTCTATGTGTGAATCGCCTTGCATTATCAGGTCGACATGTGAACTTATTGATTTTGTGAACGCCACCTCTGTCGACGCGTCTCGCATCGCACAGAATCCTACGTGGTGGAAATCTGACACCCAGCTTCCAAAGGGACCTGGATTTCGTCATACCTGTCCGGACTGCTCTCGAGCCTCAAGTAAAAAATCGTTCGCGTGCTAGCGAGAGCTTCTTGCCAAGGTTGCATGTCTCCATGCATGCTTGGTACGAAACACGCAATGGAGCGCGGCAGCTTTCTATGGAGGCTTTTCGGCTCAGCCACGGCTCCACGGCTGAGGAGGTGACAGGTGACACTTGCAATTAGCCATGGCTCATCATGGCTGCACCTGCCACGTCCATTAAGCCGCCCAATTGTCCAAATGTGTGTGTGTGTGCGCGTAGAATATGTTACCATATGTTGCCCCAAGCGCCAAGTTCATCTGCTTTTGAAGATAGCTGTGGAAGCGTACACACGTCACGAATGCTGCTTGCAGAATAGTTCATCTATGTCTATTGAAGGGGCCTTGTATACTTAGCATGCTTAGATTGTTCTGGCACGTGGTGAACATGGGTTCGCGCAGGCTGTTTCGTCTAAACGACCTAAGCGACCGAATGTTGCAAACAATTGAACCTCTTCGTAGCAATATGGCTCTGAAAGCTTCATAAATCGGCCTGCCTGGTTCATGAGGGAAATTGTGCAAGATGGGATTTTTAGTCAATCCGGATCCTGGTCGCAACTTCCGGGCATTGACGACACTGGAGCTATCCGACGTTTTAACCAACAACTGAGTTGTCGCAGGGGGGGCCCTCAACTTCACACCACAAGTAAGGATAACGAACAGGCTCAGCTAGCTTTTGCTGTTCTGAACAGTTCTGGTGGACATAAGTTCGCTGGACGCTTTGCCTCTTTGAGATCATATAACGAATCAGCTTCGTATAGCATGCTTAGAACCATTTGAGCGCCTGCCTAAATTATGTTTAAGCCAGTACTACGGTGGACACGAGTTGTTAAACCATGGAAAGCGACATGGGCCCCACCTAAAGCGATAACATTAGTTGGCACATTCAAAAACATGTATCCGGAGTCATATAGTATGTAAAGTGATATGGGCCCACGTAAAGCGACAATATGGTATTCTGCGACCTCGCACTGTGTAAAGCAATTTTGTCCGTCGCTCATTTGGCCTGATTTGCAACGGACTTGGTGGTTCCAAACTTCCGAAAACTCCAGAATGCGCGAACGAATCAAAATCCAAAATGTCGCACTACGAATTCCACAAACACAATAATGCCAATGCTTTTCGGGCCAGAAATTCAAAATTCGATGGCATCCTTGGCTAGGGATCTATCTCAGCACGCGAATGCCCACAAGCTGTCACGTACGATTCCGCAGCACAGACCTGTGTTCGATCATGTCCCCAAAACCCAAAGAAGCCCAAAACAAACAAAACAATGATCGTGAGAGACCAGGACCCTGCCTGGTCTGGAGGCTCCAGAAAGACCATTGTTTCTTGATTTCTATCTACATACATTATATATATATATGTACATATGTGTGTGTTCGTTTTTTTGTACGTACGAATGGCACAATTGCTGTAGTGCGTTGGTTTTGGCATGCCCACATGTCGTCCTGCTATGGCTCGCAGTAACTTAATCGGTGGAAAGCCACCGGCATATCACTCGGCATCCAGAGCACAGACGACGAAGGTGGACCACTTGGGTTGGGGTTTTCGCGTCATCGGGTTTACAACCATGACTGAAGCAGAGCCTCAGATCTACATCACCCCTGCACAAGATGTCACCTGCATCGTGGTACCCGTATACTCATTGCAGACCACTGCAAACAGTCTTTTTCTTCAGTGTAGGACATTGTAGGAATCAGGGTCATCCAGCCAGGACATTCAAGCATTTCTGGATGGTAGGTTTTCCCCAAGCCAAAGTTTTGGCTCTTGCCTTGCATAGGTGTATGATAGCGGTCGACAACTTGCCTAAGGGCCATCCCGACCTCATCTGTTGGAAAGAAGTGCCACGTGGTGGGCAGGGATGGCGAAGTCTTGCAAAAGAGAGGCACCAAGAATCTGGAGCCTCATCAGTTCGTCCCGACGCCTTGGCTCAAGAAAGCCACGAAGAGCCCGCCAGGGCCAAAGTTACCAGCTTTGTGCCAATGTCACCTTCTGGGGAGTTCAGTGCAGTGGTGCCGGCTGCACCTGCTAGCCTGGGGACAGCCGAGGCCTGTCGAGGGTTACCGAGCAGATGGCTTCGCAAAGGACTGGACAAAGACAGGGACTTCAGACAGAAACAAACTCTTGATCGGTTATGCACCGACTTGACATCAAGGGAGACTGGAGTGCGTCAAAAGGCAGCTGAATCCTTGGACAACTCCTGCAAGGTTGACTCGTTCGCCCTCGCACTGGCTGGCAACATACAGCCCGTATTATGTGGATTAAAGCCCAATGAGTCGGTGCCTGTTAAACTGGCCATCCTTGGCGCATTGCGCTCACTTGCAGAGAAAGGTCATGCGCCCCTTGTGGCTTTGCATTCCAAAGCTCTGCTGCAGTGTTTGAAAGACGAGTCTGCTGTGGTTCAAAGAAAGGTCTCTGCGTTGTACCGCGTGCTGGCAGAGGAGGGGGCTGCCTCCGCAGTAGCCCAAGATGTGAAGAGCCTCATGCAGTGCTTCGAAGCAACTCAGGAGAAGGGGGCTCCTCTAGTTGCACCATTGGATGCCCTCAGTTCAATTGCAATTGCAGGAGAGGGTGCAGCTGTTGCAAGCGTTATCGAACCACTGCTAAGAAACTTGAAGGACAGCCGGCCAAAGATTCGATTGAGCACTTGCACAACTTTAGGGGCCATTGCGAGCGGTGGGGCCAAGGAGCTTCTTGGGTCCCTAGGTCTCTGTCCTGAAGCAAAAGGTAGTGGGCATCAGGTTACCCTGTTCGAGATGTTGGTTTGCACAGCTTTGGACGACAATGATGACGACGTGCGTTTGGAGGCTGCTGATGCACTAAGATGCTTGCCAGAGGCTGATCCAGACACATGCGACGATACCCGGCAAAAGTTTCCCCAGCTTGTCCAACGCTTGCGGGCTAAGCCATACGGAGATCGCAAAGGGCGGAAAGGAAAGGCTATCAAGATCATCTCAGACGCTATGGGGGTCACGTGTGAGTTCGGCGAAGGCGAAGAAGCATCGCAGACCGGTACACTTACACTTTGTGCCATCTGCCAAGAGCCGCTTGAGACACATGGCTGGTGTCCAGAGGGTAAGCCGCGCACTTTGCACTGTAAGCATTCTTTCCATGACAGGTGTTGCAGTCAGTGGTTTGAGTGGGTTACACGCTGCGGGCGCATGCCGAGCTGCCCTGTATGCAGATCAATCGGTCATGACATGGGCAAGTGAGACGAAGTCAAGGCTTAAGGGGAAGGGAGAGAGCCAATTGAAACCCGAAAACGTTCCCCAAAAAAATCTCGTGGCGACAAGTAATGACAAGTAGCAGACATCTTGCAGTCATGCTGCAGGACACTGTAGGTTTGTAATGTCAGTTTTGGACAAGCACTGCCAAGCAGTCCTGTCACTCTGTTCA